CGAAAAGTTTGAATGCAGTGAATCTGAGGTTGTGACCAGCCTGTACAGTGGAGACCCACAGGTGCTCATTGACTTTGTTCTAGTACATGTTTTCTATGTTTGATGAAATCATGAAAGCTGTAAACAACGTTTGTAGGTTTCAGTAGTATAATGGTCTGTTGGGAGTGAATTATCTTATTGGTCTTCACTTTATTTTTCGTCATCCTTCTGTTTACGCAGGATCAGTTATCCGTAGCCTATCACCTCATCATAGATAACAGGCGCATCATGACCCAGGCCAGTGAATTCTATTTGGCGTCCAGTCCTCCACAGGGCTCCTTTATAGAGGAGGGAATGCCGTTGCCCCCTGGAGTTAAACCTCACCCAGAGAGGATGCCTCCGCTCTTGGCTGACAGCCCAAAGTCGCGTTGTCCTCTGGATGCTCTCAACACCACTCGGCCTAAACCGCTGGCAGTGAAGAAGGCTAAGTGGCACCTGGGTATCAGGAGTCAGAGCAGACCCTATGATATCATGGCTGAGGTGTACAGAGCTATGAAGCAGCTAAACTTTGACTGGAAGGTGCTTATACATACATAAAGCACATCACTGCAAAGAACCCCACACAAACGAGAGTCTCTGTTTTGGCTGTTTTTTTAAAATATTTATTTATATATTTATTGACTTTTTTGTGTGTGTGTGTGTGTGTCAGGTGGTGAACCCATACCATTTGCGAGTTCGAAGGAAGAATCCAGTGACAGGCAACTTGGTGAAAATGAGCCTGCAGCTCTATCAAGTGGACAACAGATCCTACCTCCTTGACTTCAAGAGCATTGATGGTTAGTAACACATTAAACAGGTTTCACAATCTAGTCACAATCAATACATAACTAATTTAAAAGCAAAATAAAATAAACATTTTCCAAATCATAAAACATGCGTGGCCTTTGTGCAGGTGTAAAGCTGCTGATGTAAAACCGGAGTTTGTTTGTCCTTAATTTTGTCATTCTAAAGTTGAGCTGAAATGAATAAAGGCGTGAACTGCACATCACAAGGTTGTCTAAGAAAATTGCAGCTGTAGTCCCAAAACATAAAAAAAAAGAAAAAAGTTGTTTTATGAAAAAGCTCCTTTTTCATGTTAAAGTGTTGAGAGTGGGTTCAGCAATCCTACAGCCTGAGGAAAGAAACCGTTTTGAAGTGTGTTGGTACTAATGTATTACTTGCAAGATGTCTTTTAGTACCCTTTCTGCGTAGACGCCTCACCTCACCGGTGCCTTTGATGCTCAGTAGATGGGTGTCTGTGATCTATTATTTACATTTAGACCATTTAAATCATCCACTGCAGAGATTTCTGGTCTTGGATTGTGCATATAATATTAACTCTTTTTATCAATAATGAGATTAAATCTTCTTCTGAGGATACGTAACTATATTTAAAATTCTTTAACAGATTTAATATCATGTCATTTGAAGCCTAAAATATTTTAAAAGGCTATAAGAAACTTCATACATCCAATAGATGACATTATTATTTAGATGACAGATATATATTTTTATGGTTATGCAAATCAGGTGAATGAGTCATCTTGTACTTGCTTTAGCACAGAATTGCACTTCAGGAAGAGAGGACCACTACTTATTAAAAAATGCATTGACATCGTTTTTAAGACAAAATGTACCATTAGCTTTGTGTCTTTTGTTTTAAATGACCTCTTTTAGCATTTAGCACTGGTTCGAAATAGCTGGTCTGATTTGTGTACTGTCTCACAGATATTTCTCACAAAGTTTAATAAAACAAAAGTTAACGTAGTAGTTACTTTATGAATGACTACTAATATTTGCTGTTGCTGTGCTTCTAGATGACATCATCGAGGCAGTGGGCTTTAAATCGGGCTCATCCACTCCTCAGAGGTCAGGTTCCACAGCCGGTCTCCACAGGCCCAGACTGAGCATTGACTCGGCAACCCCAGCGATTGATCTGCCCCAGCTCAGCTCCTCTCTCCCGGGATCCCTGTCTGGTAGCTCCCATCTGCTCACCCCACGTCAGGGATCACACACCATGGACTTCTTTGAAATGTGTGCCAGTCTGATCACTACGCTAGCACGCTGAGCCCTGCTGACTTGCTTAGGTCACTGTAACCTGGATGTCAGTGGGGTTTTTAAGCTAATCACAGATCGAGGATGTAGGGAGTGTAGATGTTTGGAGTGACTTCTTCTTTCTGTCTCTTCTCCATCTGTTCTGTTTTACTGGATTGGGGGAAGCGATTGGAAATGTAAATGGCAAGGCAGGTGTGGCATTCGCCTCGGATGAAGAGAGAGAGAATGAGGGGGTAAAATAGTGGGGGTTATTATTTCTTGTTTTGACAGTCATTGGGTCAAAGTCTTGATGTCTTACACATCAGGCTGCAGCTGAGGGGAATCTATGAACTAGTGGAGGCCTGTAAAGTGAGAAGCGAGTGGTCAGAGTTCAGCAAAGCTCAAGCTCACTGTCACTTCTCCCACAAACATCTTCAGCTGATTATCAGTTGCTGAATTTCCTTCACCCACTGTACCACCGATCAAAGGTCAGTTTTGCATCTGGTCTTAAATCTTCACTGAGGCAAAGTTGTTTAACTCGACATTAAATCGTGTCAGAGAGAGTATCGCAAAATGTAAAATTCTATTTTTTTTATTTATATTGTTTATGAGGAAGATTTTGTTATCCTTGTACTATATTTATATTACAATCATTATGTAGCTGAAAAGTTTGACAGAGAAATACCAAATAAATTACTTTATACATCTTTAAGATTTATATTTTAGCGGTCAGACCCATATTTATTTTTAAGAGTTTTTTTTAGGCATTATAGTTTTTTAATTTAATTACTACTTCAACATAGTTTTACTTGATTTTGAATTGATTGTAGATGAGTAGTGAAGCTCTTTGAGACAGCGGGATAGTAGAATGATGCTCTGCATGACGCCGAGTATGTGTTGCATTGGTGTTGAAGACAGATGCAGACCATCTTACAAGAGTTTGGGGGTTTTCTCGGGGGGATATCCAGATATATTTCAAAGCATTCAATCACCCTGCTATTTAAAGCAGTGTTTTATATGCAACACACCAAACAGATCCCTTTACATGCAAGTCCCTAATGAAGACACTTAGACACTTGCTTAGTTATCATAGGGGTGTTCAGTTCAGTCACATATGTAGTAAGCTGAATAAAGACAGGCATTATAGCTGTTTTTAGGTAAAAACTAACATTTTGTTTTATTATTATATTATTAATCTTTTAAATTAGGCAGATACCCCTTAGAAATTGAGACAGATGCTTAATGTGAGATCTTAAAACTATTTTTATTGGCTGGTGTGGCCAGTTTTTTGTTTTTTTTTCTAAATTGTAAAAATACTTAAGTAAGCCATTAAATTTCAAAACAGAATGACACTGAGGAGGGCAAAAAGTAGATGTGAGACAGTGTGTATCTGTTGCACAAGTGTATAAGCCACATGAACTTTTCTACAGTTGCCTTAAACAATGCAACGCATTAATTGGTATGGAGTGTATTGTGGAAGTTTTCCATACAAGTGTGTGTTTGTGAGCTCAGATAAGTATGGTACTTAACACTGGTGTGTTTAAAGGCTCTTCAGTATAATTGTGATGTCTGGGATGTCAGAGAGGTGATAGAATCAGAAAAGTGAGTGGCGAGAGACAAACCATGACGGTTTGGCGTGGTGCAGCTGTCTGAGCTGTTATCTGTTTCAATTAGTCATTGCTGTCTGTTCAGTCTGCACTGTAAAACTCATTTGCTGTGGCCGACAGTTTGCACACTTACTGTTTACTGCACTGCAAACTTTACTGTAACTGTTGTTGCTGGTTGCTATTGATGCACGCCACCGTTCTGTAATGTCCTGTCAGATTTCCATAGTGATGTTGTGTATTGCTATAGTCAGGCATAACATTATATCAAAATCATTTATGACTGAATGTAAATTGAATGCTGGTGCTGCTAATATAAATCCTTTTCTCTCTTTCTCTCACTATGTTCTTCTGGTTTTAAACCTGCTGTTTTGAAGGGGGGATACTGGACCGTTGCCTTTCTACTGTTTGCAGTAAGACGTAGAAGTCAGTGGCACTGAGGCAGTTACTGTTCTGCAGAGTGGTGTCACAGAGATTTACAAAAGTGTAAATATCCACTGATATAAATATGTGCAGTAAAAAAACGAAATAACTGAAACGACAGAAAAATATTAAATCTGCAGAAATCTTTCAAAATAAAGTTGTGGAACTTCTTCTCCAACACGTCAACCCTGTGAGATGAGCACAGACAAATGCACATTTGTCTAAAAAGTGCTGCCTTTTCGTTTCACATTGGATTCAAACACCCAGATCAATATCTGGTCGCTTTTCTCACCTGGTTCTACTTGTTAGTAGACCGAGGTCTGGTTGAACCAGTGAAAGCCACTTTCTGCTACCCTGAAACCCTTTATTTACATGTTCTGTGTATTTGTTCTGTCTGTAAGCTCATACACTGCTCATTGTTCTTTGTCAAGGAGAAATTGTGTTCCCTGCTCCAATATGCTGCTGCATATACACCTTTGTAAACACTAGTCCACAGCCTTTGTCAGCCATCTATTTTACACTATTGCTGTGTCTTAAATTACTTCTCTATTGTAAGCATCTTCAGTCACATCAATATATAATATATGGGCCTTTATGCTTTAATTCCGGGTACTGATGCTCCTAAAAAACACTTGCAAAAATATGTATGATTGAAGTGCACTATCCAGCAGAAGTCATGGGTGAGATTTAAAAACTCCTCTGACATAACCAGTGTTTACTGTCAGGTGTAGTCTACCATCACAACTGTATGCAAATACCAGTGGCATGATAGTCATGTAAGCTAATTTGTGTTTAGTGCCAGAAGAAATGCTAAAGGGCCTAATTAAATGCAAATTTCACATGTTGTACCAAAGTGAGTATTTTCTGTAGTGGGGTTCTTATGATCAGTGTAACCCTAAATACCACCGTGTGTGTGTGTGTGGGTGCACGCTGGTTGTTGTGATTGCCTGTATGCGTGCGTGTTGATACTGTCTCTATATGTCTTTCTGTCTGATTGAGGTTTGGATTTCTCATGTTATGCATTGCATGATATTGCTGTATTGATTTGCACTTTAATGAATATTTATTGGAAAAAAAATAAACATAAAAAAAAATTCCGTCTTAACGTGCTTTCATAGAGTCACACAAACTCACACCCACTACAAATGCCGGTTGCAAATGACCTCAAGTAATCATCACATTATGTTGTTTATCTATAATACTTATTCATCTGTTTATAGGGAACTGTTAGTGTCAGAGGCAGGTAAAAGCTCTATAAAAAGTAAAGAAAATTCAGTTGATGGATATCCCTCTAGAAGTTGCAGCTATGATCAATACAGAGCAAATACTATATTTTATACCTATTATATTACACAGCATGCTGGTTATTTGGGTCCAGTGAAAAAGAAGTCAAACTCAAAGGTCATATGTATTGTAGCATGAGTAGTTACATAGTCCCTTCCAAATACCACAGTTGACACTGAAAACAATAATGAGTGTACAAATTACAAATTAGCAAAAGCTTATGTGCAAAAAATACAAACAATGTTTTTAAATGGCTGGAGTACTGTAGATAAACATAAACCAGGAATATTACTGGTATTAGCTCACATTACTTGCTGCTTACAGCTGGTTAATTGTTTCTAATGGATGCATCTTAAAACAAATGAAGCTTTTTCCAGTATTTCTTAGCTACACACACTTCCATCTGATAAGAAAAACCGCTGTTTCCATTCCGTTGTTCTTTCCCTTATTTCCTCCACTTTAAATATATTTTCCATTCTGGTTTTTGCACAGAAAGCAGTTCATTGTCCCTACGAGAGTTTCCAGGATCACGTTGTCCACAAATACTGTGTGTGTCTGTGCAACGCAGTTCACCGTGATCACTTAAAGCAAGCAGATCAACTGTCCCATGCTGGTTCCACATTGCAGCATTTGAAAGAACAGAAGAAAGATTTCCGTTTGCCCAGATGATATAATTCTCATTGTTGTTAAATGTAATTCTACTTCACGAATGCAGTCATTGGATAAATAAGATCATAGTCCAGCAGGTAATGCTGCAGACAAATGCAGTTCCACCTGGGGGAGTTTCTGTTCAGCTGTTAAGACAGAAAAACATCATGTCATCATGGCATGTGCACGGTGATGGACAGTGAAGAATCCGGGTGATTCATCCTTGCCTTGTTGTATGATGGCCACTTTACCTTCACTCCACTCCATCGGCATACATGACAGGAGGAGGTAAAATGAGTGTATCAGGAACAAAATCTGTATCTCCTGCTGACACAGCCTCAGGCCTGTAGAAAAAAAACATGAAAAAAACTCAGTCTTTCATCTATCACCTTATATTCTTAACCCAGTAACTCATTCTTCCCTCGAAGGGAGGGAGTATGTAATTGGTTCTGTTTCAATCAGCTCGAGATGATTTTATTTTGGTGAAATTCTGGTCAAGGTCAAGGTCACACCAAATGTAAAAAGCAGTAAAAGCTTTATATTAGTTACCCATGGAAATATTGGGTATATTGAGTATATGCAATATACTCTTCTGTGCTCTTCTCCTATGTAAATGCTGTCTGTTGCACTAAGCACAGAGGAGGGACCTACTTGAGAATTAACAACTCATTGTTCTGTCAGGAGTCAACCTGGCTTAACTTCCTGGTGGTGTTAAGGTGGAGTTAAAAGCTTTCTTTCTCTCAGAGATTAAAAAAAAGGAAGACATTTACTCTTTTCATGCTTATCAAGCTGTTCCAGGCAAAAAGGAAGGAACCTTCTCCGTCTACAGGTCGGACAGCATGTTTGACATTTTTCTATGTGCGTTATTCTTTCTGTACTTACGTGTGATTTGCTTCTTGTGCCGCATTCACAGAACCTGCAGTGTAACCTGAAGATGTATTGATATTGCAATTTAAAAATCAGTTTATAAAAACTTTATGATAATACTTTATGAATGTTTGTTTTTTTTAAATGCTTCTTCCAGCATAAGTGTATTGCCTGAAAGTGCATCAGCATTAGGTTTGAAAAAGTAGTACATTAGTGACTTTTTAAATGTGATTTTTAGGGCATTACTTACTCATTACTGGTTCATCGGTGCTGCTAAAAAGAAGAAAAAACAAAAATTGAAAAGAAGCTCTGGATGTGTGTGTACATGCACGCTCGTGGATGGACAACATTGTTACATTTTTCTCCACCATGCCTACCTTGCAGCTGGCTCTACATTTTTTTGTGAATGGAAAAATGTGGACAACCTCTGAAGTGCTCTATAAGGAGAAATAAAAAGAATTATATGAGTCTGCGCGTGTCTGTATGTGTTTCTGTAAGAGTGAAACAGGTGAACTCACTGGTTGTGGGAGCTATCATGACCCATGTCACTGTGACTGTGCTGGTGGTTCACGCTAAGGTCTTTGTTTCCTAAAGACGAAATCACACAAGCGACAGATAAATAACTGTATACAAGTAAACATACAACAGTATGTTCTTTTCCTAAGTTACCAGACCTAAGATTAGCCATTACATATTTTACTAGCAGCTTCCTGTTTAAGCACCTGCTTGTCTAATGAGTCACATTGCAGGGAATTAACGTTTAAAGAATGCCGTAATGAAAAGTCCATTGTTCATTAAAGAAGTTTAGAAGGGTGCAGTTTTGTAATTTCGGTAGTTGTGAAGAAATTATAATTGGATAGAAACTTGATACAACATCCAGAACATCAGTAAGTCCTCAAGGACTTGTTTATGGACTCAGATTGAGTGTTTTTTATACTGAGGGCGCTCACACACTCGCAGTTGTGTTGCAACCTCACATAAGCCTTCCTGTGTTTCTCTGAAACAGCTGCTGCAAAATATCAAGTCTGTAGTATCTTTGTTTACTGTATCTGTTAACCCACATCAAGATAACAAATTGAGGAAATCAACATGACAAACACAAGTGTCCCATTTATTTTTGTATTGTACTGAAAGGTGACTTTTAAGTGAGTAATTCAGTAAGTGATTCATTATGCTTTGTTTAATGTATGTTTCCAGTAAACAATTAAAGATCTTCCCAAACTTGTTTTTTCACAAGAGCTGACTGGGGAATGGTGCTGCCTAAGTTGTTATGTCTTACCCACATCTGGCATGGAGAATGTCCGGGTATGACCTCTGCAGGAAAAAAGAGTGCCAAAAAAACTGTTAATAGCAGATTGATCACCTTAACTCTTGTCCTCAATAGAAACAAGCAGTAAACACCAAAAGTAGAGCATAATTGAGCATTTACTCACAGTACAGCCTGTGTACTTGGAGAACCAGAGGGAGGTTCATCATCATCACCGCTCCACTCCTCACTGTCGTCTGTGACTGAGCATGTCAACATCAAAAATATTAAACTGCTGCTGAATAATTTCACTGTATTTTGTTATCTTGGGTAGAAACGGGAAACACTTACAGCTTTCTCCTGGTAATTGATAATGGTTTGAGTCACTGGGGGAAATAAAAATCATCTGTAAATAACTTTTTAACTTAAAGGTAATAACAGTAGTAGAAGGTTACACATGATAGCTTGTTATTGGATGAAACTCTTACTGTGAAATCATGCGGGCACCGTCTGGTTCGATAAAGTTATTGTTTGACCCGGGATGAGTTTTCCTTCCCAGCTCTAACATCTCCTTGATGTCCAGCTCCACATGGTCAACGGCGACATACCCATCTAAAAACACATTCACATGGTCGTTATTCGGTCATTTCAGATGTCATTTCAGATTATAGCACTTATGTTTCAAAAACAGGTTCTTGCATCCTTTTATCCTTTTAATCTTGATTTTTTATTTTTTTAACTCACAGCTGTTGGTGCTGTCTCTGGCCAGCCACTTTCCTTTGGGGCAGTTTGCTGTTCGAATAATGCTGATTGTGTCTCCTGCTTTGACGGGGAGATCAGTCTTTCGTCCCTTTGCAGTTACAACTACTCTTGCCTGGTAAAGGGCATCCTCCTGTCCTGTGATCTAACAAACACAGTTACATGTTAACACTGAATATTCCTCCACTTGCACTCAAATAACCTCAATAAACAATATTCATGTAGCACTTTTGAAAACAACACTACAAGAGGCTTTATACCACAAAACAAATACATGTGTTCACTAGCTGGATGGTGGGCTAATCGTGTAATTTATGCGCCATTAAAGAGCAATCTCCTGACAAATAGTTTGTTGTTGTGCAGAAACACTGAGATGACTCCCATTTGCCTGATGCATGCTGTTACTCTTCATTTTAACAGTCAGAATTTACAGACCTATAGTAGACTTCTTAAGTGTCAGAGTGGGAGGAGCAGTTTATCTTTAACCTGCTGTTATGTTCACAGTACTTACTCTCGATACGTGATTTTGTTCCTGATAAGTAAGAAATGTGTATTATTTTTTACAAAGGCATCTTTCTCAAAGCCAACAGGCTTGCATTTGCTGATCTGAAGGTATTTGAGTGACAAGACTGCCATCTAACTGCCCTGTGGATGCCCAATATAATCTGATCAAGACTTGGAGAAATGAGAAATGGAGTGATGATTTACTTGAATTCCATCATCTGATTTGGGGATTGTTGTTATTGTTGTTGTTGTTTTCTTCTAACTTCTCTCTTTCTCTTTCTCTCTCATTGATCGGAGGATATTTTTATGTCTTATGCAAAGGCAACAACCCCATCACAATTTCTCCACAGTGCACAGTCTCGTTATGAAAGGATGATGATGTCGTGATTGTCAACGAGCAATCATGATTACTGATGATACAAGTACAATTAGAGGTAGACTGCCTTTTGCAGATAGGACTTGGACCTATCTGCAAAAGGTAGATTAAAAGATTTTATACTGTACAACAATACTGTCTTTATTAGGAAAAAGCACTGTTTCAAAAGGGACATAAGTCCAGGGGGGATATGGGTAAGATTTAAAATCAAAGTAGTTCCACTGAGAATTGCATAGGAACACAATCTCAGCAAGGTAACCATTTCGCACTAATCACAAAAAAAGGTTTGACATATCAAACCATTTAGTTGCCAGATGTATGATATTTACCACAGCTAAGCTGTAAGACTGTCAAAGCATCAGCAGGAGAGGCACCAGGCTTTGAATTGATATGATTATTAAAACTGTCTGTGTTTTATCAATAGAGGAATAGAGCAAAGAAGCAGCACATGATGACATAATAAATGTTGACGTGCTTCTTACATGTACAGTACTTACAGCGTGTGACAAATGTGACATTAATCTTGTAATCCTGGGGTTTTACACTTAATGATATTAACTGGGCTGCTAGCATTTACTCCATTTTTTGTGTTTCTGGTAAAGCCAGCTGCCTGTTGTGTTAAAAAAAAAACGAAAACAGAGCTAAAGTAGACACAAAACCGCATTTATAGAGTTGTTGCATCTTTTTTGGGTTCATCCCTATGTTAATTATTACAACAGTTTCTGCTACAACACAAACATTAATCAGATCATGTTCAGAACAATAACATTGTAGAAGAATATGCAGAAATAAAGAATGGCCCATAGGTGTTCTGTCAGAAATATCACAGACAAAACAAATGTTTGCTCGTATTCTGTTTGAGCTTGCACATGTTGCTCACTTCAACTCTTCCACTGCCAGGAATGAATCCAGACAGGTTTGTATGCCCGAACATATACCCCACCCTCCCCCGATGTTTCTTAACCTTCCGTGTTCACTTACCTTGAATTTCTTCTTCATCTCGTTCTCCCTCTTTTCCCTCTCTTTCTGTTCTTTCTTTTCCCGTTCTTGTTTCTCCTTTAGCTCCTTCTTCTCCTTTTCTAGCCGCTGCTTTTCTTTCTTTTTCAGCTCCTTCTCATCAGGCCCCTCTGCAGCTGCTTTCTTTTCACTCCTGAGGAAGGCAGAATGAAGAGGATCATCCAGTTAGAAAAGGACTACTGGTTAATAGCAGAGGAGAATATGAGTGAAACAAAAGCAAATCACACTCTCATCGCTAATTCCCCGGGGATAAGAGAAATTAAAAAATCTCTGGATAAAAACAATTAGGCCTTACTTGCCAAACCTCAACGTCTTGGTTTTCTCTTGAACCTATAAGTAAGAATAAAGAATGTGGATTAATTAACTTTGAATTAAAATTGCATAAAGAAAGCTTATCTTTTTGAATGAAGAAAAATAAAGTCTTGATTTTACACTGCAGCTTACTGTTACTGGCATTGACTCAACATATGGATCTGTGGTTTAAAAAGAAGGACACAGTTATGTACAATACCAAAGATGCAACCCTTCCAGGCCGTTTCTAATATTACTGTATTAATTTTAGCACAATTCCTATTTTTCTAGTATAAATAGTTTCTTACTCTTTGGCTCTTTGCGTTTCTTGACTTTAGTCTTGACTTTTTTCTTGTCACCATCAGGTGTGGCGATATACTCGTACGCATTTTCTGTGTTCTGATAAACATCGTCTTCTGGTTGGGGCCTGCGTGGGACAAAAAGTTGAACAAACACTAATGAATACCAACTTGTCAGGGATTAAGAACCATTTTAATGAGAAATAAAATAGATTAAATTTGCATGTCTTACTCTGACGCCTGTTGTAAGTCCTGACCGAGAGCATGAGATGATTCTGGTAGTGGATTATTTTGGGATATGTCTCCATATGGTGTCTCTGTGTGGATCTCGGTTTGCGGAACATTACTGTGAGCCTTTGGCGGGTCGTAACCGTCTGGAACATCTGCACCTGGGTACATCTCATACTCCAACTCTGATCCCTGCAGCTCGGGAATAGGAATGCCTGAAGCCACATTGTCAACCTCTGGGACATCAGGGGTGTAGGTCTCTGAAAACTCAAGTGGAGCAGGGATATCTGCAGAAGAGGCATAAAGGATTATGACGCATTACAAGAACAGGCCACTGAAGTTTAGCTTTTCTCTAAATTGTGAGTCTAGCACTGGTGACCACACCATTAACTCTCATGACAGGTGGAGGAATGAATTCACTCAAGTTGGCAGAGTTAAGTATGGCAGGTTCCTCTACAGAAGAATTCAGAAGCCCATTATCTGAAATAGTCATCTTGGGTGGAGGCGGGGGAATCGCCTCAGGGACAGGGTCAGGTCCCTCAGTGATTTCTTGCAACAATGGAGAGGGCTGTCCTGGAAGGAATGACATTACAGGTTATGACTAGATATGATTGCTAAAAGATTTTGAACTTTAATCTCATTTAAGTCAAAAAGAACCATTCAACATCAAAACTACATCTGAAAGTGAATTTTCCAATACAGAAATAGAGATAGGGCAAGAAAAGAATAAGAATTGCATATGTAAGGAAACAAAACCAGTCAAACCCACTGTGGAAGTTGTTCTTGTATAACTCTGTAGAGCGGAGCTAATGCATTTATAAGAAATGTGCAGTATAATTCAATTTTGCTACTTTAATTACAATACAAAACACATCTCTAGAAACTTGCCCGCTAGCTGCCTTTTGAAGCTTGAAACTGTTTGCTGTTGTAGAATAAAAGATTAGAAACCATGTCAAAGGTACTCATCTGTAATTTGTAACAGTAGACTTCATCATATTAAACGAGCTTGACATAAAAACCTGTATGCACAATTTCAAAAATGCAATGCAAATTAAACAGAGCAGCGGGCTTCCTGCTCTTTCTGCACTGTGCTTAACAGACGTTGAACTGTTTGTCACTGCACCTCTGACATAGCAAACATACCTCTGCAGCTCTGCCCTGCCTTCTGCTAAGTTGTTTCTGGCACAAAAGAAGAACGTCACCACCTGAGGCGACCCTGTGGCCAGGTATTTTCTGCAGCTAAAACTCTAAGCTATTAAATTATGTTTTGCAGGCCTACAGCACATACCTGATGATGATGAGATAAATTCTTCTCAACTTCTTTTGAGGTGAAGTAAATCCACGGAAAAGTAAGAGGTGGGGAAGAGAGGAGGGGGGAGGGGAGCTCTACTGTGGTTATGTTAATTGGACTTACGGTGGTCAATGCCATTGACTTGTGCTGGTTTCGATGGGAGGGCATTGCCTGTTCGATCTTCATAATCAATGGGTGGGAGTTCTGGGAGACTTTCAGTGGGGCTCTGACACTGGGAGGATTCCTCAGGTGGAGGGGTAACAGAATAGGAGTGCATGTCACATATCAAGGGGCTAAGAGCAGGTAAGAAATTACATCTTGTTAGTGACTGAGCAGTAAACAGAGATGTTTCTTCGTAACTGTTGGAATGAAACTGTGTGTGTTCCTGCTGTTTGTGTTCTTTACCTGTTGGTCTTCTTGCGTGCATTCTGTAGAGCATTGAAAATCCTCTGGTCACCTGGTGGTGTTCTTTTTCCAGGACTCATATCCTCTGCCCTCTCCAGGGCAGAGAGTGCTGAGACTGGACGCTCTGGTTTGGGAGATGGTGGAACAGATGGAGGGTTTGTGGCTAGAGAAGGAAGTTTCTCCACAGCAGTTATATAAATATCATCTTTCCCAACCTCAGATGTAATCTCAGGCTCGGGGGGTGATGGAGATGGAGAAGAAACCAGGGAAGGAGAACCAGAGATGACACAGCTGGGTGGAAGAGGTGGAGAGACACTGGGTGGACTGGTAATAGCTTCATCTTGGCTAGAAACAGGAAAAGTGGGATTTTCTATTTCAGGTGGGATTTCACTGGTCAAGATTGGGATTTCAGGTGGTGGGCTCTCAGGTATGAGAGGAGGAGGTAGGTTGAAGGCAAAAGATTCAAGAGTAGTAGAGGTTGGGGACATTTCTACATCAGCACTGTGATCTGGTAAGGTGGGGTTGTCTGGTAGTTGGGGCTCTGATGTTGAATTAGGTATTGTTTCCCCACCAGATTCAGAAGGCACTGGGAGGAGTGGAGCTAGTCCAGCAATATCTGAGCTTGGGGTGTCCAGAATTGGATCAGCTGAGATCAACACTGAATCTCGTTTTGACTTTTTGAAAAGACTGAAAGGCTTCTTTTTCTCTGTTGTGACTTTAGGTGGGGGTGCAGCTGGCACCAGCTCTGCAGTACTCTCTTTCTGAGTTACAGGGACAACCGAAGGAAGCGTCTTGTCTTTCTTATTAACTTTCTTTTGATCCACGGAATCTTTAAGAAGATTCTCCCTGCTCCCTTTGAGTGTTTTGTGCTTACCACCTTTCCGTTTCCCTTCACTTTTGTCTTTATTGTCGATGAGAGGTTTTTTGCTCTCTTTCGGATCATCTTTGAAGACCACTCTTGGGGCAAATAGTGTCTTTCTTTCCAAGTTCTCATTAATGGTGGTCAGCAGGGAGGGGCGTGCACCTGAAGGGAGGTAATGACTGGGGCTCTGGGGAGGAGAGACCACCTTCGGCTTCTCTGGGAGAACAGGTTTTATCTTGGGTTTCTTCAGTATGAATTCTTCTTGTTGAAACTTGGCCCTTACGGCCTGAAAGTCAATCTGTTCCTCCTGATGAAAGTATCACACAGTACAATAGTCTCAATACAGGACCTAAATAAGGTAAATTTTATTTCCCTAACATATTTGGAGTAAGAACAAAATCCCAAATCACTTATTATCAAGAGGAGTTTAGTTCTGGTCTTAATCCGGTAAGATAAACTATGTCATCATAGTAGTAACAGCGTTACAGCGTACAGAGCTAAAACTCTGTCTCACTTTACTTAATGTTGTTGTAAGCTTTGATCTTTTTTTTTTCAAATGTCAGTTTACAGTATTGCCAGGATTTATGTCTGCTAACACAACTTTAAATATATCAATAGCATATTATCCAATCATCATAATGTTACGAGCGTCATGGGACATACCTGTTCCATTGCGCGTTTTAATATCCACAGAAACGACCAAAAAAAAACCTCCTTTACGAATAGAGCTCGTTCTCTTATTCAGCTTCTCATCCTGTGTCCGTTGGAAAAAAACAAAGAAATTAATTTAAAATAAAAAAGGAAGAAAGAAACTTTAAATAGTGTATTCACTGTTCCAGGTTCCTGCGTGCTTCACCTCTGATCGAGACAAATCTGCGTCCCATGCGCACCCGAGATGGTTTCAGAGGAGGAGTGCGATTGAGTAAAAAACAGTCGGGCTCGTCAAACTAGTCCTGCTGAGCATTTTACGCCACAGCACGATGACTGTCAACAGCTCTTGGATTCTTCTCCCTCTTCTTCAGGAATGTCGCCCGGCTGGCACGACGTGAGTCACTCTCATGAAACCAAGCGGATGGAGATTTTTTTTGTGTTTATTTTCAAAGTGACTCATTGTTTTAAGAATGCTCATCTCTCTTATAAGAACAGTGTATTTTGCTGTTATGAGAGGATGTGGTATAAAAGTTTAATCTTTGATTTATTAACTGTCGCCTAAACGAATCATTCAAATTAAACGTAGAGAAAATGAGATGACCGAAGAAATGTGTCAATAATGTGACATAAATACATTCTGTAAGCGTTCTCTTTATTTGGCAGCTTTGTAACTGTAGCAGACTATAGTCTCTCATACGCTTAACTCACTACCAAGTTGTGTACACTCACCGGTCACTTCATTAGGTACACTTTACTCGTACTAAGGAGGATCTCTTTTTGTCTTAATTCTCACAGATTCAACAAAAGTGCGGGAAACTTTCATCAGAGATTTTGGTCCTTACCAGCATGACCGCATCACACAGTTGCTCTATTGGACTGAGATGTGGTGACTTTAGAGGCTATATAAGAAACCACTTTGAGATGATTTGAGGGTCGTGACATGGTGCATTCCTAATGGGAGCAGCCATCAGAAGGTGGGCACACTGTGGTCATAAAGGGATGGACAACAACAGTACTCAGATTGTACTGTAGTTTTTAAACAATGCTGACTGAGTTTGTACTAAAGAACCCAAAGTTTTTGAGATATCCCACACACCATTATACCAACACCGCCCTGAACTGTTGTTGCAAGGCAGGAGAAATCTATTTTTGATGCTGTTTGTTGTTGCAGAAATCCAGACTCATCAGTCCAGGGAATGTTTTTTCAATCATCCACTGTCCAACTTTGATGATGTAGCCTAAATTTCCTGCACGTGGTGCCACTACTGCTGTAGTGTTTCAAGGTGCACTGTGTTCAGAGATGCTCCTCTGCATACCCTGGTTGTAAAGGGAGTTATGTTCTTTTCCTTTTAGCTCAAAACAGTCTGGCCATTCTCCTCTGATCAACAAGGCATTTCGCTTACTGGATATTTTCTTCTTTTTGGGCCATTGCTCTGTAAACCCTAGAGATCGTTGTGGGGGGTAAAATCCCCGTAGAGCAGAAGTTTGCCACGTTCACTTAAATCATCTTTCTTCCTTTCAGATGCTTTTTTTAAACTTCAGGTCATCTTGATCATGTCTACGTGTCTAAAAGGAGTCAGCTTATACAATGTCCCTGATTAGCTCTGTGTGTTAACTATTAGTTGAACAGGTTTAATTAAAGAAGTGGTCAATGAGTGTAGACTTCAAGTTGTTTGGTGTACATAGCACGTCTTTGCTCAGTCTAGTGGATAAATAATATTCTTCATTCTATAAATAACAGAATGAAGTCTTTATTTTGCGACCTTGTCCTTTGAAATGTATTATAACTGGTGCATGTTTAAGGTGACTGTATTTGCATATCTAGATAAAACATTCCAGAAAATTTGCATTTCAGAAGAATTAAATGATTGTAGGTAATCTTGTAAACTAAAAACGATTTTTGTTTTTGCAATTTTACATTGGATACCTTTTAACGCCATTTCTTTCTTTTTTTTCAGGGAAAGATCTAAGTTTTACTCCCATCTGTATGTGGAAGGTTTTTACCGCATCCTTCATTCAAAAAACTTTGAGTATGTGATTCATGGTGCATTCTATTCCTAGAAGTATGTTGAAAATCTTATCTTATCTGTTGACAAAATTTTCTCAAGTAAAAAAAATGAGCTACTCAAAATCAGATCTGTAAAAACATTTCACACTGATATGCTAACTTTAAACTGGCTTCATCCAGTGTACAAATTTCAAAAGGCAAATGAGAAGATATTTAGATAGCTGATACATTTGATAGTTAAAGATAAGTCTCATCGTGTATAATAAAACGGTTGTCTTGATGGCGTTCGGTTTTTTGTTTATTATTAACCTGTAGCATCTGCCTTTAAACATGTCTGCAACTTTTTGGTTTCTATGGAGAAGACTATAGCTGTGGTGCTCTCTTGAAAAATACATAAAGATGGTCAAACTGCTGCTCATCTTTCCAGCGCAGCCTGCTGCTCATCTTGGACAATTTGCAGATGTCAGTTTTGACAGCTTTCACAGGTGAAATGTTCTCAAATAAGCTGCACACAGTAGGGTTTATAGATTATGGAGTACCCAGGACACTGTTTGAGGGAAGACAAAAGCTGTCAGATATAATTTTTTAATGTTTAAGGAATAACAAGGCAATTCCATTCACCTGCACAGGTGTCAGAAATCCTACAGATAAGCATCTCAAATACCTGTCACTTCAAATTGAAACTAATCCCACAACCAAATAGCACAGTGACAGCATTTTGTGTGTAAAGTGGTTCATTTAAAATGTGTAAAGTTCTAGTTCAATTGAATTTACAGAACAGTGCATTAAGGGTGTACTCGTGTCTGAACCCTTTCTGTGGGTAGAAAGTGAGAAACAGAACAAGAGTAGGAAGGTTAGAGTTCTTGTTTTGCGGTTGCTTGCTAATAAAGCTTATGACAGCTTGCAATAGAGTGTAGCAGAATGTGACAGGTCATTAAAGCAGTGTTAAATTATTGCAAAATGCTGTGGCACTTGATGGTGGAGGTGGTGGTGGTGGTGTGTGTGTGGGGGGGGGGTCACCTCTGCTAGGCACACACCATTAGGCTCACTCTTTCTTGCTCGCACACAAAAGCAGAGGCATAAACACACGTATTAGTCATTTGGGATGTGTTTATTTGTAACAGTAATACATGGTGGAATACGTAAATCAAGATAGAACCAAAAAAATCATCTAAAAACCCACTGTAGAATGTCATATTCATAAAGATAAAAATAATGTGTCAATTTACATTAAGAAACTGTTAGCTGAGGTAAAGTTAAAATAGGTCTAGAAATGTTATGTACTCAAACAGCAACGTTTCCCTTTTTATTCAACGTCTTTGCTCATCATCTAGTTCTCAAAGTTTTAAAGTTAATCAGCTTCATAGTCCAAAAGAGTTCTCGAATGATATGGGGACTCTGGCCATAAAATAGGGAGTCATTGGCATCACAGTTGATGTAGTTGTAGCAGAGGATGCTGCAGTCCACACTCAGACAGCAGCAGTTTGGCACCTGACCAACAGACAGACAGATGGGCAGAGCATCGCTGTTATCTTTGAGACTAGTCTGGGAGAATGCGATGGAGGAGAGGAGCAGTCTGGGCTACAGTGAGTGAGTGAGACCCTGACTGTTGCCTGCAACATAAAAATGATAGTCTTGTGATACAAAAGCTCAGGACCGCGATATAGTGTTTTTGGGTGGGAACTCAAGAAGACACAGCAGGGCACGGTGCAGGCTTTAGGGCTGGAACCAGAGTAATTAATGGTTCACAACATCTATGCACAAAAGAGGGGGGGGGTGAGGCGAATGAAACAGACAACAGGAAAAAGAAAACATATGTTGGTATTGCTTGGGTTAACGTCAAGAGTTGCATAACTGAAGCCTTCCTATTTTATGGCACAGAAGTCCAGTGGACAAAATGGTTGTTATCATTATTTACAAAATGAGTTTGGCAAACCAACGATCAGATGCCTTAAAGCCATGTTGACTCTATATCTCCTATAGAGCTGACCCCAGCGGCTTGATTGACTTATAAAATAAAAATTCAAATTTTTCAATTTCTTCTTCTTTTTTTAATCAGTATTGTACAAAAGCTATAGAGAATGAACAGTTCAATCACAGAATCTGTTTAACTTGCAACACTTCCCTCTCAGTGTCTTTTCTTCAGCATGTCTGGTCCTCTGGCCTCTGTGTGAGTCTGTCTGCGAGGAGAGACGTTTGGCAAATTACTGTGTGTATGCATGTCAGAGAAGGTGGACTGTGTGTATGTGTTTGCATGTGTGAGAGTATGTAAGCTGATTCCTGTGTGCAAGATGTATGTCGTTGGTGTGTGAGTAGCTCCCAGAGAGTCTGTTTCTGCATAGTGATCCAGCAGACACTCACAAGGATGGGGTTAAACTCCCCGAACCAGCCAAGCAATCAGAAGTAGTGATCCCAGTAACGGGCCATCCCTGATAGGCCCATTAATAGTCTAGCTCCTCCTATGGGATCTCCTCACTACAGATGCAGATTCTGTCCATTAAAACAAAAGGTGATCGTTCTAATCCCGATGAGCGTGCGTGTGTGAGGGAGTGTCAGAGACGGGGAGGCACTGCATGATTCAGTCCCTTCTTGGCAGCACAGTCTCTGGCCAGACACAGGAGGCAGAGGAAAGAGAGCAAAGGAGGAGGAAGGGAACGGGGGGGGCAGAGAGGGGAGGAGCAGGTTCTATCTGTAAGGCTGGGTGTGAGTCGCCACAGGGAGAAGGGAGGAGAGGAGAAGACTGCGCAGTGGAGGGAGAACTGGATCCGTCTCAGTGATTGATATCCCTTCCTGCCTGGAGTGAATGACCAAGAGGGCTCTCCCCTCTCAGGAGGAGGAAAGACTGCAGACAGGAGGAGGAGGAGGAGGACTGTGGGAGTGTGGAAGCTCCTCCTGGGAGGTTGTTAGCTGAAGGAGAAGAAGAAGGGCTTGGCCAGGCGGGGATGTGCCAGACATGCACGCACACACGCACTCACACAAACAGAGGTTAAGGGTTCTCCTCCTGTTCTCTCAGTGCTGGTCAGGTCTGTCTTCCTGTGTGTCTCTTTATTTCTTCCCTTTGTTAATCTGGGCATAGAGAGGGTCCTTCCTCTTCTGTCAATGAAAGAAAAAGAAATTACCACATTTTTACTTTCCTTTGTTTTTTTCAAAGGCTTGCTATATCTGTAATGTCAGTGTCTGGCCTCTGTGTTTCATCTGAGTGTTACATAATAAAAAGGGAGTGCCCGGATTTATGATTCATTCTCTCAACTGACTGAACTGCAAGTATCAGCAACCTGCAAGCCCTGACAAGTTAGCTCTAGTTTTGCAGTGGTTTGCAAGTTCCTATAACTGACATCACCACCAGGTGGCAGTAGCACACTGCATTGAAGGAGACCTTCGGTCACTTTTCCTCTTACCTCTTAGGCCGTTCATAGGTCCATCACTCTCAAAGCCATTTGTGTGCGCGTGCCTGCATGCGTGTTTGTGTGTTGTTATCACAGTGTCCATGTAAATGCATATTTTCTCCCACCTCAAACTCCCTCCAGGACCAGCAAGAATCAGAGGTAGTGCCTTGAAAAACCAGTTATGAGTCATCATGTCTGCATTTCTCTCCAGCTGAGCTGGAAGACAACAGTGGATGATGGAACACCCTGCAGTCAAAGCACCAACCCTGCTGCAGTCACTCACAATGGGGTCGTTATTATTGTACACATAATTATAGCCAGCCACTCAATCTGCCATGTAGACAACTTGATTGGAGGCTACTGACTTTCCTATTATATTCTGGGAGACTTCTCCAGAGCAGAAAACTCATTTAGAGTTTGGGGCTGCCCACAGCTCCCCTATTAGAAGAAGGTTTAGTTGAGCAAACTGCTCGTAGTTAGGTGTGTCTCTGTCACAGTATGACTCAACGTTGGGCTGTTCTGTTTTGGAGGCTCAGCTAGATAAAAAGAAGTCATTAAAATATGTTAAACTGGGTTCTGGAAAACCATTATGTTTTTGGTTTTTTTGAATATGCTGTTTGACATTTTATAGATAAGCAACGAATGATTGAACCTCTCACTTCTACTTGTGCTTAAACTTACATAATGCACAATCTGCAACAGCTTTCATCTACAAAAAAGAATACTTGGGTTGATGCTGGGAGGGCTGCTTTAGTTAAGGCTTTGGTCTTTGGCATACAAAGCTGTAACTGCAGGGCTGGCCAAGGCCAGACAGTCAGCAGAAAGTAGCTGCCAGCAGCCCCGAGAAAGGTGACAAAGAGGCTGAGACAAGCAGTGACAGCAAGCACACACTGCTCAGCCAATGCACCAGAGCCACAGCCCAGCGGTGTCACCCTGCATCATCTAACAGGCACTGCCATCTGAGGCGGCTTCAGCTCCTTCATCCCCAGCCGAGAGAGCGAGTACAAGTCCTCGGTGGAGGTATGAGTGATTTGCTGGCGTGGCAGCAGCCTCAAGGCCAGAATATCCGGCCTGGCTGGTACATGTGTGGACATTTATGTGCATGCGTGTGGTAGGCCCTCGGCAGGGGGAGCAATGTGAGATTGGTCAGTGAACCGTGGAAGCAGGCCATTTCATGGCTGAGACTCGGGAGCGTTCACTGGACATGATGAAATCACCCCAGAAAAAACACTTACACTCCCACTAGCCTGAACACATGTCTGTCGGAGACACGCAGTGGGAGGGGGAGGACAGGACAGGCGGTCATGGCCAGCAGCAACACACTCACACAAGCACACGCATATTTTTGGCTCCAATATGAGCACAGGTGGTGACAGTATCGATCACAGGTGTGCTTGTCCAGGGAATAGCCGGGACTACTGCACAGGTGTGTGTGTTTGGGAAGATGTCTAAAGCCGATGTGATTGAGCAAGTAAACACCATATGGGAACAGCGTAATTGGACCAGGACCAAAGCAGTCCACCTACTACAGAGGACAGACTAGAAGCTTCTGGCCATAGCTGCTAGATCATAACCAGATTTCCTGCTCAGTATTCTAAAATTCGTTCTCGTACTTAAGTGCCACATCCACCTGCTGCCGTGCAGCTTTCATAGCGTCTGAATGAGGAGCAAGGCCAACAGGGGAGGGAAGCTGCTTTGCCCCCCTCCTCCTCTCCCGGAGTGGGGAAGGACTTGAAGGCTCCTTGGGTTTTAATTAATGCCAATTATATCGGGGCAGTCATTAATCTTGGCGCTCCAGTATTAGCTGATGAAAACAAAACCATCACATTTTTTTCTGGTGTGAGTGCCAGCAGCTATCATTAAGGAGCCACAGTCGGGAATTGTGTGGGAGAGGACACCGGGTAGGGAGGCAGGGATCAAAATGGCTCTTTTTCTTGGAGTGTGTGTGTGTGTGTGTTTGTGTGTCATTGAATAGGCAAACCGCATATTGACATGCTTCTCATAGAACGTTCAAGCTTATGAAAGTTGTGAATTTCACTGTAGAACAAAGTGCAAAAAGTGTGAAAACATGCCCGTCATCAGTGACTGCCTGTCTATATCGCTCAACGTTTAACATTGGTGCCTGGTGCTTAAGTGACATTGCACACTGTATATAATGCATAAAATGTGAGCATACATCCTGATCAAATTAAGCCAAACAACTGAGATCAGCATATTGCACACAAATCCCAAAAGACATCCTGCTCACTGAAGTGCACAGTTTCTGATTGGCTGTCACACGCTATTGAATTTCCAAGTGAGACGTGTGCTATTTAGAGAACTGAGCGTGATTTAGGTGCACATCAGAATGACAGAACACAATGAGAGCACTATGGCCAAAGTGATGTTGCGTGATGAACTTGTCACACACTGTTTCCAATAAGTCACACATGCACAACACCTTCATCATGAACAGATACTTACAAAACAAAAAATTCCCACACATGATAAAGCATTAAAACCAAACCACACGTGTGCCATCCTTTGAACTTGTGTTAACGAGGCAATGAAAACAGGTAAAACAGTGAAAATGTAACCACTGATGCAAAAAAAACCCGAAAGATGCAACACACTTATGTAAGGGAGGTGCAACAGTAAATGAGAAGAAGAGATACATGCAGAGAGTTGAAGGAGTTAAGAGGGGAAGGAGAGGTATTGATACCTACCTTGCCCTGCTGCTATCTAGCTCCCAGCCTCTGGACTGGCCTGATCTGGGCTGGGCTCTGCTGTCTCGCTGGGGCAGGGCGACCCAGAACCACATGCCTAAAGAGTGGAAGACGGAAAGGAAGGAAGAGGAAAGGGTGGAAAGGAAGGTCCATGGAAGAGTATAAGAAGGAAATAAAGGGAAAACAGACAGAGAAGAATAAATCTGAAGGACAGAACGCTTGATTGATAAACTACAAGAACAGAGCAAACAGGAAGCAAAGAGTAAAGCTGTTAATGCTCTGAAGGAGGAACGCAGACACTTAGAGTAGAAAACCACAGCCCATCGCAGCTTTTCCTTTTATAGAAACTTCTTTGCAAATACACACAAACAGTAAACATGCACTCGTTTACAGTGGTGTGTTATGAAAACCTTTGTGGAGTTACTTCTATTGATCCACTGCTTTTTTTCCTAAAACACTTCTGCTTTTTGCACCTCAACCCACAAAAGGGTGGGAGGTTGTTTTTCTGCGTTTGCTCCATCTTTCCAGTCCTCTCGCTTTTTTTTTTTTTTTGTAACCTTTTCGCCGCACTCACTCAGTGCCGCCACCAATGCACATGTCTTTGGGTTGGTCAAAGCTTCTGTGTGTTATTCAGGGCTGGTGACATTTTCAGCAGTGTGAAAGTCCTCTATTTTTTCAATAATAGCTGGATTGGAGGCATAAAACTAATATTTCACGCCTGGGGAGTGAAGGACGAGAGGGAGGAGAGAAGCAAGCTTGAAAGAAACAAAAAAAAAGAGTAATTGGAAGACAGGAAGAAAATGGCAGGGAAAGAACTAGAAAAGTCTTGCTTCTTAGAAGGTCACAGATTCTACAAGGACTTTGGTCAAAGGCACTCCCTAAGAATCTGACGTTCTATCCTTCTTTCCCCCATTTTCTTTCGTTTTATCTTTCTATTTTCTCTCCATCTTCTCACTCCTCCTTAATTTCACCCATTTTTCTGCCCCAGATTAAGGTGCTACAGGTAAAATAAATATTAATTGCCCCTGGAAGAAGAATTGGGGCACTACGCTTCCTATATCTCACCACAGATGAGTCTGTCCACATAGAAGTAGTGATGTATGGATGCTACCTTGCTGGTATTAATAACAGCTTAATGATGTCTCTGACAATTTCACCAGCTAATTTAACGCTGTGTTGACCATGCACACACTCAACCCAATACTCATGCATGCTACTGCTCATTTTTCCACAGTAACCCACACTGGACGTGCATTTTCATATGCACTGACACAAACACCAACACACACTCTCACACTAAAGGACACAACAGCGTCGGCCCCCTAATCAGCGAGAGTGATTACCTGGCCCGCCAACACGGCTACAAAGGCTATTTATCAGCAGATCTCAACAAGCTGTGCAGGTTATAGCAGCATAAGAAGTGACTTATTAAAAAGGCGCACACACTTGGCTTACTCCAAAAATTTCTCACACACCAAACCACACCACACTTACAGCATCTTCCTCTCCACTGCGACTGGGACTGCCCTCTGCCTCGCCAAACGAGTCGTCGGTGGGGGGGTCTGTGGCGTCGGTGGGGGGGTCACTGACGTGAGAGGCTGAGGATTTTGAGGGAGAGCTCTGCCTGGGAGCTGGGGTGGGTGCTGCAGAGGAGGACAGAACAATTAAGGCGTAACTACACGCTGGATGGTGATAAGAGAAAAAGCGTGTTACACAGCACAGACAGACACGGAGAGAGCGCTCACGGGAGTTGGTGGATGGTGTTGTGGAGGTGACTGGTGTCAGATTCATCTGAGAAATGTCAAAGTCATCACAGTCATCTGTGTCCTGGGCAGTGCCCACACGGCTGAAGTAAGTGCTGAACGCCTCTGAGGTTCCTGTTAAACTGGGCTGATCAGCCTTCTTCGAAGGCATGGCCGGAGGCTTCGCCAGCTGAAAATCCTAAAGGAAGACAGAGACTGGTCAGCAAGGTTAACATTGAAAGTGTGGACAATCAATTAGTGACCTTTGTTTCAGGTTACTGTACAAATCACTGCCTGTTTTGCAGCCTTTTTATTGATGAAAACACCACCAGACTGGGGAAATACGTTCTCTCATAGACGAGATTTTACAAGTGAAAAATTCTGATATGAACATGTATGCATTTACACTACAGATTAGTTGAATCCTAATCCTAACGAAAATGTGCATTTTTGATGTGTTTGTATGTGGCCTAACTATGTGAACCAAAATGTATTTCCAAAAATGTCATTTTTTGGAAGCCTTTGAGATTTAAATGAGACTAATTTGCTCAACATAGCTAAAATGATCAAATACAACCCAAATATGTATGACTGTCCATTTGTACTTACATGTCCCACTTTTATGACTCTTTGCACCCTAAGGCTTGTTTCAGACTTACCCAAGCAATTAAAAACTGGTCCCAGACATAGTGCAACTCTAAAAAAATACTTAAATTAGAAAATTAACTGTGATAAATTATTCAAGGAGCAAAAACTAATATTTAGTTTTTATTTTGAATGGGACTATGAAGACTATTTGTAAAAATCGTCTCTGTATTCATCAGTTCCCCACCTTGAACATCTCCTTTCCCATCTTCTTTCCTCTCTCCCCATGCTGTGGACTCGAAGATGCTGAAGGGGAAGGAGCTGAAGCGCTGGCTCCAGTGCTCGAATGGCTCTCGCCGGCTGGAGTCACAGTCGTGACGGGGGTGAGAGTCTGGAACATGGTGGCGGGCAGGGTGCCCACAGGCTGGGCTGGGAGGTAGGCTGTGGGGGGGAAGGCTCCTGCTGCCATGGCTGCCCACTGCTGCTGGGTGGCAGGGAAGATGTTGGCCTGGCCCCAGATGAGAGGCTGGCCACCTGGCAGCACCTGGGCTACCGGGCCTAGAGGAGATTGGACCCCGAAGGCCAGCGGAGTCTGGGCAGCAAAAGCCTGCTGGGACCAGTGGCCAGGAGGTACTGCTCCCATCGTCACATAACCTGGTTGTGAGTGGATTGAGATAAGTTATTTCATTTTTTTCTGCGCCATTTTAAAAGAGTAAGAAAAGAAGACAAAAGAGAAAGTGATTCGAATATCCACAGTGCATAGCCTGCTTTTCCACACACAAACCTGCACATGCATCACCAGAGAGTGCTGCCCTACTTTTGCCCGCGGCTAATGCAGTGTCTCTTAATGGTCATGGTGAACTATTATAATTACCTCCAGAATGAGGCAGAGTCATTATGAAAAAGGTAGAACTCAACACACTCATTAAAATCACTCAGATTCATCAGTAAAAGCTGTTTCGTATTTCACACTCACTAGTCTCCTGGTTCTAGTCTCTGCTTGCTAACTACAGCGGAGAAAGTTGACATTTAACCTTGGCTGCTCTGACACATGCACAGAGAACGGAAAAGAGGAGGCAAGCAGAGGTGATGAGGGGAGTGAATAAAGAGATGCAAAACCTTTATACCAATTTCTAAATACACAGTAGCTCTGTGCACAAAGAAGTCTTCACTACAATCATCGCGGCATGTTTTATTACTTTCCCCCGTCTGACGCAGTTGGCTCAGCCACAAGTAAATCAGCAGCATCTGAGGCCGCGGGATAATAATGCTTTTCATATTCAACACACAACCAATGCCACCTTTTCTCCTCTTTCTCTCGTCTACGTTTCGCTTCTACTCCATCGCTCTATATTTATTTCAGCACAACCCCTTTTCTTCTCTTCTTCAGATGCCCCCTGCATCTGAATTTTCTTAGTCTCCAGTTTGCCTTCATGTCTCTCCTGCTGAGCTTGTTACCCACTGGCTTTTAGAAGCCTTGTATTTAAGCAGAACGTAAACAAGGTCTTACCTGAGGGCACAGACGCAGGATTGAAGGGAGCAAACAGTTCCGTGGGAGGCTGCAAGCCCTGTGAGGGGTCCAGGGTGTTGGCTGGAGAGGCGGGAGTCTGTGCAGGTTGTGGTTGGAGGTCAGGCGGACAACGAAAAGGAGACAACTCAGTGGAGATGCCGGTATTATTTTAAAAGACGTAAGTCACAGACTGTGTATGTATAACGGCTACTCACAGATGGAGAGGTGATGTCAGGAGGCGTAGACATGTCTCCAAAAATTTCTAATTGGTTGATATTCTGAGAATTAGAGAAAGCGCATAATAGCAGTCAGGCACAATCGCGGGAATATTAGACTACATGCAATTTCTGAATCGCTCTACATTCCAGTGCAACGTGCATCATACACCGCATGCGACGCGACATTAGCTCGGTATGTTAAAGTTACCTACCTGAGGACTTTGGCAGCAACAGAAGAGGTAAAAGAGGGGTGTGGAGAGATGGGATAATGAGATGAAATGATTGATTATGATGGCATACCTACCAGGAGTTATCACAATCTTTGTCATCTGCTTCAGATAAAGATTCTTTCCATCAGTGGATCTAAAAGCAGACTACCACACCCTCTAGTATCATTATTGTAGCAGCGTCGTCTTTTGGACAAGTCATTAATGTTTCCTTCTTGTGGAAGATATGGGGTATGTCCCAGAGGGAATAACTATCGGAGACAGCAGCCTTTGTATTCAATCCGGATTGGTTCTGTACCGCTCTGTTTCCTTTCACAGTTTCACATGATCCTTCACTTTAGTATCTGCCTCTTTTTTTGCATATTATTAATATCTTTAGGCTGGTGGCAAGTGAAGGATAGTCTATTTTTAGTTGATAAAGGAATTTAAGCCTTGAACACATGGTCAGAGATTAGCATAAATCATGGATGCAGATAAATTCTTTAGAGATAATGAATGTTCTTAGAATATCTTCCCTTTTGTTCACTCTCCTGGGTCACGCATAGACCACAAAGTTCTTTTTACACATATCAGAAAATGGATCTGTGAGCATGGTGTTTTACATTATGAGTCTAGAAGGCTTTTTTTTTTTTACTAAGAGGGATAGGAAGTTGTAATATATACTACGGCTGCAGCAGAGTTTAGCAAAGCAGACAAAATGGAATCAACAAGATAAGCCAGATATCCAAGATAGACAAAATAGTGCATTCACAGGCACTGATAAAAGGATTTCCACTCACAGAACACATTTTAAGAGTTTTTCTAACTTTACAATAAATTTCCTCTGGCATTCATCAATGAATCATTCGTCAATGACAGAGCCCGTGCTGATGTTCTTTAATGTGAAACCACATTCACGGGGAAAATGTACTGCAGAGAGTGTTCAAACAGCACAGGAAGTTGAATATTTATAGACCTTCTGTCCAGTTTCCATTCGCTCAATATTCTTTACGTGTGCGGCGGCGGGTTGGTGAGGTCAGGTTGCTGTGATTATCATAGTGTTATGAATGCTTTATTAATGTGCTCGGAGCCGCGATGACCGCTGCTGTCGGCTAACCCTGCTGACCCCCACACCAGTTCTCTGACAGACACTATGACCTTTACGTCTACTCCGCCCTTAAAGGACCTCCGCTCTGAGCTAAGTGAGAGTTTTTCTCTCTATTCCATTGGCTTGTCCTCTTTCACACATGGACACCACGGTGGCGTGAATGCATGGGTGCACCCGTGCGGCTCTTGACTTTACTCCTGCCTGAACCTGGTTACTATGGCAACAACAAGGTTGCATGTTTTATTCATAAATGACAGAGGTTAAGAGTTGGGGTCACTTATGACTACAGAAGAACAGAGTTGGAGGTACAGACGAGGATGCGAACACCAAAGATCATCTGAGGACGTGATTAAAGAGTAGTTCACGGCAACTAACGCTCAGGACAGTATGTTCCCTGTTTAGAGCTTTGAACATTGCATTAGTTTGAACTACAAAGTGCATGTTAGTATACTGTAACAACTTACCTGAGTCACCATATCCAGGTCTAAGTCTATCATATGTGACTGCGACTGCTGCTGCTGTTCGGTTTGTTCTTGGTGAAGGGGTTGTTCATGAGAATGATGATGTCGATGATGGTGATGGTGGTGGTGGTGGGGTTTTCTTTTATGTCCATTCTGCAATCACAACCCCAGAGTTAGATGGCAGGTGGGATGAAAATGTTCTCGCACACAAACATGTTAGTTATCTTTCATACACGCTGAGAGAAAGAGGAGGACAGAGGGAGGTGGAATGAGTCTCTTTAAAGAGAGGAACATGATGGATTGCAGGTGTTCTAGTGATGCACACACACACGCACACATGGACGCGCACACACACACACGCAGTCACAGAACAGTGTTCTTCTTGTCTGACTTAGACCAAGTGAAGATTTAAAGAGGTTTAAAGATCATCCCTACCTTTTGTCTAAACTACAGCACTGAGCTGGGGTTTAAACCCTATTTGTATTTCTGTAAAGCCTGCTCCCATGCGTCAGGAACCACAGTGTGAGACTGACAAGCAGGCAGACATAGAAAACAGAGCTGGTTTAACTAACATGCTTCATGTGAGAGCACAGTGAGGGCGTACATAATTGGAAAAAGCCCATTTGCCATTAAAAACCTATAGCCGGGGAAAATAAGACATGTGAAAGGGTCATACCAACACACTACTCCCATGTATTTTGCACTCCAATCTGATTGCACAAAACAACTACATTTTGTAGGCTACAGCACAGTGATGGGCTTTGCGGTTCCTTTCACCAACACTGGCACTAAAAAATGACGTCAGATTGGTCTGGCAGAGCTATAGTATTCACTGAATGACAGCAATAATGAATGTATTATTTTCGTTGCAGGAAAGCATGAGGTATGGCCCGCATTAGTTGACAGTGAAAAGAACAATAACAGATTGCTCAATGCTAACCATATTAATTTTTATTAAAAATCTAAATTTTAATCCATCTGATGTTTTTTGGATGGGTGGAGCATATTTTAAATCATGCAGGATCTGCTGTGTTCATCACTTAAAGCTCCACTCTGCTGCTGCCTATTTCTCTCCATCTTTCTTCCTTCACTTTCCCAGTCTGACCACCCTCTCTCTCTTTTGCCCTGCCAATTATCCCTCTGCGCCCATTATACACTCTCGCCATCTCTTTGCCTGGCCCTTTATCTTTATCAGTACTGCCGCCACCTATCAATTAGCCGTCTCTAGGGAAACAGTAATTACCTGTGCACATGTGTTCTGCATACAATTAACGCATCCCCTTTAATTAACACCACCTTGCTGATCCCCTGCCGTGTGACTGATCACATTGGCACGCACCAAAAAAAACCCCCTGCTGACCTGCCACACGCAAAGCCACACACACACACACAACGAAACTCATAACACAACCGGACACACAATGGATAACAATAACTAATTTTTAGAGCTCTTTTTCTCCCTTTCTGTCTCACAGGCCACCACACACACAAACACACACAATGTAATTTATAGAGCCTGACCAATATGTATGCCAGTATCAGTTGTTTGCCTTCTTTATTTATATATTACCAGAGAAGAAACGCCCATCAACCGTGTTATGAGTGTTGCCATTGGATAGTTTTTCCATCATCTTCCCTGTTGGGAATACTTGTTCCAAATGCCACAAAATCAACAACAAGCTAAATATTTGTGATGATGTCACTGATCATGCTACTGAAGCCAATGCATGAGTGCCAATATCTGCAGTTCTGCAACTTTCAAATTCAGGTTGATACCAAAGTGAGTCAATCTCCTTAAAGTCCAGTGTTAAAATACCCAATTTTAACACTGGAATAAACACATTCACAGTCTTCTACTTTGGGTTTCTATCACTCATTTCCCCTTTCATAATAACTGCAATTACCTAACAAATAATATGCCTTTCTGTGTGCTTAACATACAAACAGCACAAAGTCTGCACTTCAGTTTTATTAAGGGCAATCTTGTGTTTTACTAATAAGTCACCAAGTAATCACTTGTCCATCTTTTATAAGCAGTCTACAGTCATATTCTATTAAGGTAGTACAGTGTTTGAGTTGGCCATGATGTGTGGTGGAAATACACTGACCTCTGCATGTGAACTCTAAGGTGTTGAGGGCTGCTGTTGATTCAACAGACTCGCTCAGGTCCCAGAGGGTCAAGGGCTCAGTAGATTGGAATCGCTTTATGTGTGCGTGTGTGTGTGTGTGTGTGTTTTATTGATTTGCCATCATTTAAGACGGTGACAGATTAAACAAGAGAAGAGACTGCTTTAGACAGGAGGTCACATTTCAGCCGATGAGATCATTTCATCTAGGTGTACTGTGTACATCGATGTCATGTTGCACTGTTGTCTACTGTCAGTCCCTCTGAGAGGACGGTGAATTTCTATTGTCAATAAAATAAATATTGAATGCACTACAAATAACAAACCTGCTGCTGTGTCTGGTCACTCAGCTACCAATATTTCTGCCATAGACAGCAGAATAAGAAGCTTACATCCTAATATCTAATTATTTCAACTTTATTTTAGCAACACTGAAAACCAAGTTGTCACTTCATATAACCATAAAATTTCCCTTAAATTCCTTTCACCACAATAACTCCATATTTACCAAACTGGATATTTAGATCCACAGGTAGAGCTCTTTTTGTGATTCCACGTACCCATCTGAAAATTAATGAGAGCTGTAAACTACAAACCTGTGGAACAGCTTACTTCTCTCAATTTGCACCCTTAACTCTGTGGTATCCTTTAAAAAAAATCATATTCAGACAGGGTCATGTTTTTGTGTGTGTTACTTGATTCAGATGTGTTCATTTTGACTGTGTTTTTAACACCTTAATGTCTTAAAAGTGCTATATAAATAAACCTTACTTGGACATCAGGAGCGTGCATATATTTACAATATGATAAGATGGCTAGAGTTTGACTTCTGGTGTCACACTACTGACTGAAGAGCAACATGCTCGAAACATTTAATCCACAGAGAGATCAGCGCAGCAGCACTTTTTAACCCTTTGATGCCCGGATTTTATTTTTAATTTAAATGAAAGTATCTGCAAATTACCGTACAAGTTGTCTGCCACAAAGGAAATTAAAAAAAATTATCTGGTCCATTTATATTTCTGTGATCTATGCTCACATTCCGACTGACTGGGAAGCAGAAAAGACTTGAATCTGCTTTATTTAAGCCACAATGGACTGACTAGCCCAATTGGTTGCACAACAAGAGAGAAATATTGGATTTGTTCACGTTCAGACACCTGCCAACACAAAGGCAATCCAAATAACAGCATGTGTTGTGGGCTGGGTGAGGAGAGAACAGAAATACTATGGTGCCTGTAAGCTTCTTACTAAATCTGGGGATAATATACAGCCAGAAAACTGCGAGACTGATTTCAAGACTACCAAAATTCATAGAGTGAGATCGTCACTGCCAGTAGTGACGTTGAGGAGTCCAGTTTAGCGATCTATTACAGCAGTGGAATACACAAAGAGATTGCAGGCACTGGTGGTGAGCTCTACAAAATAATTAGAGCTAAATGGGAGTGTGTGTTCAAATAATATAAGCTCAAATACTCATAAACCAAAACACACACCAGCAGATCAACAGCTTGATTATTGTGAGTGTGAAGATTTTAGTAGATTAAATCAGGCCGCAATATAACTTCCATCTTTATGGGCAGATAAAGAGCAGCTGAGGTATAGCACAGCCTGACAGTGGTCAAGGTCATCTTTCATTATAACTACCGGCAGTGTGAACAGAGGCTTGCATGTACACACGCAAACAGGAATACAGATTTCCACTGCAAACATTCACTCAAAAGGCACAGACAGGGTGAAAAACTGCTCGACAAAGCTCAAGTATATTTTAAATATATGATGTCATGCACATTTACAGTCAGACGTAATAATATCATTTTTACGAAAATATAACAGTGACAAAATACGTGATCAGTGCAGTCTGGGATAACATCATGCAAGCTTCATGACTGGCCAAACCACAGCCAAGCATGCTTCACTGAGAAAGCTGACATGACACAAACATCCAAACACACACATTATCCCAGTTAACCATAAGGAGCAGGCACCACGGGGCACGAGGAGAACGGCACCAGCCACCATAACTACAGCACAAGCAGTACAATAGCACAGCACACTGCATGAGGCACTGGATCCCAGCAAACCTCTCAGGGGAAAATTAGACATACTGATCACTGTGTGGGAGATATATTAAAAGGAAGTAGAATAAAATGCGAAATTAGAGCTTCCACATGACCGCATGATGGGAGAGTGCTGAAGCAGAAAGGCTTTCCACGTTGAGTAACACGTGGGACAGCTGAGAGGTTTGTCTGAGAGGGGGAGGCAGGCTGAGGGGGGTGGGAGGTCGGGCACGGGCATACACACGGTCACTCACTGGGTGTCGCTTTGGGACGTCATAGACCCCTTCCTTCTGCTGACTGGTGGGAACCTATACAATCGACCAATAGATTCAGAGAACAGCCAAGAGAGCCTGTTACCTCTGGAGTAATTAAGCAATAAAACTTTACACTTCATCACTGTTCCAGCACTGCGACAAACTGGATGCCAACACAAAACCCTGTAACCTGCCTCTCCTGGAATCACATCAATCACTAGTAAAGTGTTTGTGTGTGTGCAGGGATAATCAGAATTAAAATCTTTTGAGTGAGAACTCATTTACTAGGTTAATCAGAAGACTATCAGCCTGTGGCGATGGTCTCTCTCTCTCTCTAATAAAGAATGGATAAGGCAGCTTATCACATCCACAGACATGTAATAACTCACATTGTCACACACATGGAGACATGTAATATTTCTGTGTCACACAGTCAGATAGATCTGAGTCTGTGTGTAATGAGAAGAAACAATGAGCAGCGATAGCAAAATGCTGATATGTATGAATCCTGAGATTCCTATGGTTTGATTTCTCCTACAGTGGCACAAGGCTTGAAACAAAGTTTTATTCTTCCCCAGCTGGATGTGCTCTAATCAGAGTGGTAAATGAAAAACAAAAAATAGCACAGAGGAAAAATGTGGATATCTATCTAGCACAGCCTGTCCCATTCTTTCTCCTCCTTTCATTGCCTTGTTTACTTCTTTCACATGTTTATTTCCAGAAGCTGCCATCTTTATTCATACATTAGTTCCTCTGTGGCTGGAGGCTGGCTGAGCCGCACGTTTTTTACGCATGATGTGTGTGTGGGGGTTTGTTTGTACGTGTATTTGTTTGCGTACGATTGTGCACGCGCCAGCGCTCCCTCTATTTCAATCCATTTTATTTAAAGATCAAACGAGAGGCTGGTGATTAATCTTTCTTTCCCCCGCTTTCTTTCATCTTCTTGGGAAAAGAGGGAGGGGAGGCGAGAAAAAGAGGAGGGGTCTTCCTTCCACACACACAACAGGAATAACCTCCACATCCCCTCCACGCGCACCCAACCCTCCCCCTCTTTATCCCTCGGAGGTCTACCCACATCTCTGAGGAGTGCACCCAGAGAAAGCCTCATCTCCCAGGAGTAGCTAGCTTTAGCTATCAGGGCCCTCTGGAGAGTGTTGGCTGGTTGTTTGCCTCAGATTCTTAAAGTCTTTATTTCCTGTATCTACAATTGCTGTTTTCATGTGTAAAAACGGCAATTAATTCTATGAGCAGGCCACAGTATATTTATCCCATTAAAGAGTAATGCAGCTTGTACCGATTGGACAGTAAATAGGTGATTAAATCTCTGTAGCTTAAACGCTTTTAGGAACTCCCTGTCAGCAGATTAACCACAGTAACTGTAGTTTAAAGCTACATAAGACACAAGCAAACAAGATGAGCTTGTGAGTACCTGATAAATGCTCTCTTCTGATTGGTCACGGATGGGCTCGTGTCCCGCCTCAAACACAATGTACTACAACGTCAGCAGCACGGGAAAGAGAGGGGGAAAAAAGAAGCAGGAGGGAAATTGGAAGATAAAGAAACTGAGAGAAAACTGCAGAGGTGATTAGTCAAACAGCATTGTCAATAGGTTCTCATTAAAAAGCAGTTGAAGAAGAGATCCCAGTGACACACGGAGGAGGCTTTAAGCAGTAATAAATACCCAGAGCAACTGAGAAAACAAACACATCTCTCAGCTAATCATGCACCCACAGCTACAGACTCATGAACACACAGATATGAGTGTCTCCTACTGGCTCTTTGTATACATCGGCAAACCCCTAAACAGCGTGTGTTGTGCTTATTACGAAGATCTACCCAAACAGGAGCTGTCTCCCCACAGTGCACACACAGAGGAGCAAGCTGACTGGCTAGAAATGCAGCAGGTGACAGCAGCAATGGGATTGGTCAAGAAGTTACCTGGTAGACAGGGTCCTCCAGATCCTCCTCCAGTATTGTCTGCGGATGAGCGGCGGCAGCAGGAAAGAGAGGGAGAGATCAAACGGGGAGGAGAGAGGAGCAGGGGTGAGAAGACAGAAGAGAGGGAAGAGGCGGAGAGTTAAGCCGGTGAAGTAGAGAGAGTAGGCGGAAAGCACAGCGAGACATAGCAGCTTCCCAGCATTCAGATAATCATTTGGCAATCATCAGAGAACGAGCGAGACAGAGAGATAAAGAGAAAATTAAACAGGAGACGTACAGAAGACAGAACAGAGGAAGGTGAATAAGCACAATGGGCAGATGGTACCACTGATGAAACCTGAAAGTGGGTGCTCCGTATGTTACTCTTTGATGTTTTTTTAAGTCTTACCTGACTCATCTGTCAAGAGTCTCTCACATGAACCTCATCATACTTATGGCAGATGATTAAGGAAATTGTTTAAAAGACAAAAAAATACCAGAGAGTTGAGAAGAGTACCTGGTACACCGCCTGCTCACACTGCTTGTCTTTTTGGGCCTTCTTCTCCTTCTCCTCTCTCTGCTTTATGTCATAGATAAGCTGGAACAAGTCCCGCAGGTCCAGAATCACAGGTTCAGCCTAGGATGAGGACACATTATCCAACCATTAGCACAGGCACACACATTAACAGGAGCACAACACCGATCAGAACTCAAGAACTGCATGTTCATTCTCGTTATGTGAGGATTAATTTCCCTGCCCAACTTCACGACAGGAGTTTAAGGCCATGATCAGACTGACATGAACAGTGCGGAAAAAGATACCACCTCATTCACTTTAATGATGCAGAGGCCTCAGGCCAAAACCTTTAATCTGTCCCATCTCACTGTCACTTTATCACACACCCTGCTTTAAATTCTAACAAGTGCACATTTCTCTTCAACTTTTTTAGTAAATTCTGACTTTTAAGACAAGTAAAGGTGATTCTGATCATTACCCTTGCAAGTTTTTCAGATTTGCATTTGCAATTTGACAAACATGCACAGAGAAGAGGCCTCTTCTGTGTCTCTACTGAGCTTTCTTTTTGAGTTATGAAGCTTTCCGTGAAGATGTGAGTGAGTTTGACATGACCCATTAAGAGACCCTGATCGCTGACTGTGACCCAAATACAGAACAGCTGTTTCTGGAGTAAAAGGTGGAAGAAAGCACATCAGTCAGGAGTGTGACCAAGAGCAGGTTCTGCTTTTTACCTTCACAGGGTTGTGCACTCTGAGGTAATCCTCCAGAGTGAGGCTCTACTGTAATGTCTTGAACCATGTGAGGGACAACACTCCCCGGAAACACCTGAATTGTGGTGCCAACTAATTAGATGTGGTTCCCCAAGACTTATCAAAGGGCCACCACTTCTAGACACTAGAGGACATCCAGTATGCATTGCAGGAAAACAAGCACAACTGGTTAGAACAGGACCATAGAGTGATTTAACTTAAAAGGAGAAGTCATCTAGGATAAAAATCAGGTTTCTTTGCATTTTACAGACAGAGTCGTGCAACATTTTAAATGCTCCTTGTAGATTTAACTTGTAATTCTGTAGATACATAGTAGAGATAAAAAAAAAGAAAAAAAAGAATAGGCATTAGAAACTGCTGTACGGGATCTGACAAGTTTTCATTCTCAAAGATATATTACACAAAGTGCTCTTCTTTGATTATACTTCAACTTCTACCTACAGAAAGCTGATCCAGCAGAATACACCCTCATAATTTAAATTGCCCAAATAAAACTGTAACAGAAGAAAGACTAATTGTCTAGCTTTTCAGGAATCTTTTCACAGTATAAAAATAAGAAAAAATGTAATTCAATTTTGTTCATCACAACATCAGTCACTAGTGCTGTGGGATACTGCAGATTTTAGTATCGATCCGATACCAAGTAAACCAAGTGCTGATACCAGTACCGATACTTTTAACCTGTAAAGGCAGCTTATGTTCGGGAGACAGTGTGTGATGATTTAAGAGACGGCTCATCACCACTAACTCACTCTGATTTGTACGTTCTATAATACTTAGTTATCACAACAAAACACATCTTCCAACTTCTCTAAAGCGTTTTGGGTCAAATTCTGTTGTTTGACATGTTTCATAGTGCGTGTTTGAGGTGTATTGTTTAATTCCCCCAAAATCTATAATTTAACACAATTCAGTGGGCTACTTACTGAAACAAAGTATCGATCCTATTTGGCTAGTATCGATCCGATACCAATACCAGAGTTGGTATCGACACTATTGATATTTGGATTGTTCCGCCCACCTCTAACAGTCGCCTCAAGGCGCTTTATATTGTAAGGTGGACCCTACAATAATACAACAGAGGAAACCTCAACAATCATATGAACCGCTATGAGCAAGTGCTTCGGCGACAGTGGGAAGGATGCCAAAAATTCTGTGCCACTTTTTTTTCTGTGCCACTTCAAGTAATTAAACACTGACCTTGAGGCGTAAGTGACGTAACTCAGAACACGTAAGTATGTTTAAGACTTTGCTGTCTGCACACTTTCATGGAAACGGGCAGGGGGTGAACACAGTCACTGCATGATCTATTGCTTCACGCAGCAAAAATTGTAGCCTTGTGTTACCTTTGTACCTCTTTCCTCGAATGAACAAAAGTGGTGACAACAAACCAGCGAGATGACTCACAACCTATAACTACTGTCACAGCGCAATAACAAAGAGTCTTATAGTACAACGGTCTTTCAAACCTAATCAATTATTGACTGGAGCTATGCGGAGTGCAGCCAGAGTTCATAGACTGAATGTTGTGCAAAATGTAGTTCTATTTTAGTGTTGGCTTTCTGCAAGATATTCTGAGCCGAATAAGGCACATGACATACACGCTGGGGTAAACTTCTCTCCCGCTGAGCCAACACTGAAACATACTGTCACTCTTTTAAATTCAGATCCGTTTTACATTTGACAATACGTGCTCTAATCCTCACTTTCTCTTGTGATTTCTCTCCCATTCTTTTTTGCTTTTCCTCGATCAAAACCTCAAGGTATGAAAAGAGAGTGAGCAGAGAAAATCACTGAATTCTGAAAGTGCTAATGCAGAAAACTTTGAGGAGGAGTGGCCTGCTCATAGGACCAGAGAGATGAGATAACCTCAGTTCAGCACAGATGACTAATTCATAGCCTACGGCAAACCTGATAAATGATTCCAACAAAAAGTAACGATAAAGACTTTTACTGCAGACACAGTTCTAATAAAATCTGCCCGGATCAGGATTTTAGAGCAGAAGATGAGTCTCCAATTCTACTAAATATTAATGCAAGAGATTCACTCTCATTGCCCAAATTAAATTCTGCTGTTGGTTGTTAGCGGAATATCTTGAGGATATTCCTGAACGTATTTCTTGGTGAACTGATTTTTGTTAAACCTGTCTTGTCTAAATTCAATTCAATTATTTCTGTTTTATGAAATTCAGAAAATCGTTAAATCTGGAAGTCATGTTGAAAACCTTTAGGAGAATTTACATGAGGAAGCATGTGCATTAGAAAAATGATCAGAAAAATTAAAATGAGGATGTGCAAAAGTGGACTACTTAGAGAAAAAGACTCATGTTGTTAACTTTGTTTAAATAATTTCTATGGGCTCAAAATAAAGGATTTACTGGCTAAATCTGTTACTGTGTCATAAATTATGTAATACATTAAACTACATTTGAACTCTCTGTAGCCTCTCTACAAATTGAAACCTAGGTTTTGAAACAACAAAGCGAGTCATGCTAATTACAGCTGCAACTTTTTTAGAAAAGTTATAACAATGACTGACAATCCTCTATTCACAATTAGAGTCTTGCTATCTTCACTAAAACTGGCTAAATAAAACATGTCTTTCTTGTCCTGAGACTTTGATTTGAGTGGTAAGCCAATTACTTTTGAACGCGACCTTAAATTGGCCTGTTCGGAACATCTTTAAGTCTTAGTCTTCATGACAACAGAGACACTTTGTTAATTCACATCAAAGCAGTTACTTTCCAATTACAGCCTCGGCCATGAGCTCTGTGCCTCCATCCCTCTTATTGTCTGCTCCACAACTAATAGTCTGAGTGTTAGTGATGGCTGGTTCAAATCCTGAAAATGGAAGTAAAACATAATTATGACCTTTCCTCAGGCACACATCAGGCAAAAGGCAGCGTAGCTGACGGATGAGAACTTACCGTTGTGCTTCACTGTTACGCAGGGTAACATTTTCTGAACAACTGTTTTTTAATGGAAATGCGGCTGCTGTATTTGTGAGTGCAGACTGGCGCATATCTGTCTCAGTCAAAGAGCCACGGTTCATGGCCCTAGGAGGATGGATATGCCATTAGGGCTGGTGACACACACTCAAACCCTCATCGACTCACTATGGGAAATCAATATGGCTACAGAGAGAGCCAGCTGAATCCAGACGAAACAAGCCAGGCGCATACAACAACAGCAGCAACAATCATAAAAGGTCTGAAAGAAGTACTCAATATTATATAGAGTATGCCGACGCAGAACCGAAGCTGCGCTGTTCTGAACACACAAAACCTAAAGCTGCAGATCTACTCGGTAAACAGTTTGTTTGATGAACAGCACAAAGCGACATGAGCTGGTATTCAAGGGTCCTTATCTAAATGTCAAGAGGTTCATGTTACTGAGCAAAGAGCCTGATGAATCATAAATTAACCTAAACACAAAGAGAGCTGGGCTACACAACGTCTTTTTGTGTCGTTGGATGAAAAATCCATAAAATACCATATTGTTATTCATGCGGGGTGAGAGGAAACTATACTGAACATCCTCTGGGCTCTGTTTTCAGTTTTAGAAAATCTAAATCATGACCAACAGTTCAGAAGCGCCAAAGACTTCAAGCTATAACAGTGGAGTAGGACTGTAACATCAGCACTGGCCAGCATCACTTATTTACTATGTTTAGATTAGTGCCGTCAGCATTAATCTCATTAATTTGGAGTTGTGGTTGCTCGTTTTCCTTTTGTTTTGCTTTGTTCATTTGTCTCTTTTAATTCTATTTTGTTGTACTTTTTCAACATGTTCAAAATAAAGATTCAATCAATCAATCAATCAATCAAAAATGACATTAACGCCATAACTGCATTAACGCGGCAAATCTCTATTAGCGAGTTAGTGCTGATCGCCCCGTGCGTGGGGCTGCAAGGCATCAATGCATTAGCGCGGTTAGCTCGTTAAGGCGTTAGCGCTGTCCAGCCCCATTCACGTCATTTTAACGAGAGTAACGCTGACAGCACTAGTTTTGATATTTCCAAATGTAAATGTCGGAAGAGCTCAGAAAACGGTGAAGGTGAAAGGTGGGGGTTTGGGTTCATTTTCCGCTTATTGGACTGAATGTACATAAATACTAACCGACTGCGCGGTTTTGATAGCCACAAAGCGGTGGTTCCCTTCTTTTCCGCAGACATAGCCAAAGGCTCGGTGGTCCGTGATGTCCTTGGCAATGTAAGAGATCTCATGGACAGCATGGTGGTGTTGGAGGACCTGTAGCAGGGAATGACATAATGATACAGATGAGCTTTAAATTGTAAAGATGCAAACAAAAAGCCCTGTATTTACATATCTATATATATATATATGTTTTAAAAACACATACGAAGCAAACTGACTCTACGTCTTTATAAAAAGCAAGTTTATTTATTCTTTCTTAATAATTAAACTGTCTGCTGCAAACCAGTAACTTGAAAAAACTTATACCAGAAAGTTAGGATGCACTCATCTATACTTCCAAACCATGTGGGAAGCATAATCATCTCATGTAAACCCCCTTAAGTATATACTCACAAAAACACACAGTCACACAGAGACCTTGTATCCTACATTAAATTGTTTCTAGCTCCCCTGCCCTCTCTAGTTTAGTCTGGGTGGGGAGTGCCAAGCTGGCATTGCCTGTGCCCCGTGGCAGATGGCACTGTTTTTCCCGAGGACAGAGGGGGGGATCAGTGACAATCACAGCTCGGCAAGCTGTCGACTTGATCACTTCATCTGTGCCCTCACTCACAACACGCACAAACACAAACACACGCTCACAATTCACAGCATAATATGCAATAGCCCCTCTGTTAGTCACACTAAATGTCTGCTTTGTTGTTATTGTCTATGCCAGATGCATGCTGGGAGCAGAGACACAGAGTCAACATAATAACCCAGTAGCCCTTGAGTGCATGCTAGGGGTTGGAGCCTTATACATCAGAGGCTAAACACACACATCTGCTCTCTCTGAAGCTACTCCAGAAGTGCGACATGGCAGAGTAGAGTGACACTAGTATAACACGGGACCTATGACACACAAACACACACAGAGAGACACCAACCACCTCAGCAGAAACAGATAATCATTCTGTGAGTCATGTCTTCTAAATTTAATAATTGGAGTAATGATTATAATTATCACCTCTGATTGACCTGAAATTGGCAGCTAAGGATGTACACACACACACACACACACACACAGAGCTCATTTGCAGAGGTTATTGAATTATCTCTGGGTGGGTGGTGAGGTGACAAAGAGGGACTCTGATTCAAAGAGAGCAGAGAATTAAATGACTGCATAAATTCAATTGCTTCACTTTGTCTTGGTAGCAAGTAGAGCTTAGACAGTAGAAAAATACATATAATCAATACCAGCTTTTTTAATAAAAAGCTGAAAACGTTCACAGAAGCTTTGGTCTAGTTAACGTCACTTTTTTAGCATTAAAAACACATTACTGACCTCCCTTTCTGGTTTTAGGTTCTCTGTGTGCTTGACATCTAAGACAAGTACAAAGGTGAAAGTGCCACCTTTCAGAAGAAAATTTAGTGCAATGGGAAGACGGCTTCCTCCCACCGTCCAAATGGACGGATGGGAAGATTCAATAAGTTATGATAAAGTAGCGGACCTCGGTTCTATCTGACATATCTGCCAAACTCTAATTAGAGTAGAAAAATAAAATCAAAACTCTACTCACAAAGGTAAAACAAGTTAAGATGCTGGTCGTGGAAGGAAATGACAAATTGAACTTTACACATATAATTTCAAATTTTGTCAAAACACCACTGAAGCTCCAAAACTAATGATGGAAATGTTCAACACTTGATTTCACTTCATGAGACATTTATGCCAACAAGACTGTTACTAGCATTTTTATGGTGGTTTGAATGTTTTTGTAGTGTCATGCTAGAGAAAAGGGTAGAAAAAACAATGTGACAATGCTGTTTAAAAGCATTGTTTTCTTATCACAGGTAGTCGTGGATTACTTTGTCCAATCTGCCTGACTCTGCATGGATAAGCTGGATGTGTGTTGCCATAACTGTCCTCTGGTGGATAAATTACATAACGTGTGTTTCTCCCATTTCTTTAATTTTTCATTTTCATTTATCAGGTTATATACTGGCTGATGTCATCTGATGTTTTGAACATGGCCTGCTTTAGTTGGATATAGATGCTCAAACACTGCGTAAAAGCAGGGGTCTGAGGTCTGCTTTTCTCGCTGTTGATGTGCTGTACCAGTCTCACAATCTTTCACACACAGCGTCGGTGTCTCTGAGGGACTGTGGACAGCATGCCCTTCAGCAGTTGCTGGCCACTGAACCAAGATATTCCTTGTTATTCTGGGAGTGAAGAGGGGAAACAGCAGGATACTGTCTCTCTAATATCTCCGATCGTCACATCTCTCTCTCCTGGAGGGGAGACATCATCAAAGGGCCTGTGGAGGCCATCCAGCCTTAAGCCAGTAGGAACAACATGATGGGAGATTAGCAGTTAAACTTAAAGATTTAATTAGCTTTTTTTTTTATCAGATTCAAATCAGGTCTGGTTATTTAACCCAGGTTTCTTTATTTCTTGCTTTTATTCTGTAATATACGTGTGTGAAACAATATTTGAACTGAATTAAACATGGAAATAACTCCATTAGCTTGTCTATATAGAATAAAGTAGCACACTTTTTACTTTTTGAGCGTATTTTTTGAGAAAGGCCATTATTTTTCCTTTGTTAGACATTAATCACGGTGAGCTGACTTAGGTTAGCATGGTCTGAGAAGCATGCATGCTGGGTTAACTGGTTAGTCTTGTGTGTGAATCTTTGCGTGTGAGTGATTGTCTGTCTCTCTATGCTAGCCCTGTGATGGACAGGAGTTCTACATCTCACCCTGTAACAGCTTGGGATAGACTTCAGCTATTCCACAACCACCAAGTTGGACAAGTAAATAAATTGGATGCATATAAATCGTGTAACTTTTATTTATGTATTATTTTGTAAATTCAAGTACATTCTGAAGATCTGGCGCCATGTTATCTGGCCGTAGCCATGCACCTGCACTACTCTGTTCATAATAGAATAAAGGCTGAAGCTACAGCAGGAGATTGAAATGATCAGAGCACTTGTGGCCTCTCTGTAGGTGTGTTTAAAAAGTGCTGGCGGCTAATATTAATAAACCAGAGCACAGAGTGTAGCAAACTTTCATTCGCAATCACTGGTTTAATGTCACTACATCAGAAAACTGTATGAATATAGAATCAAAGAAAGAAGCATGATACTAATTTTAATACTATATACGCACAGTTCATCATGCATTGGCTGAAAATAATGGATCATGTAAGTGAAATTAAAAGGACACAATACTGAGGTGTTTTTTTCCTCAACTAAAGGCACTAAAGATGTGACTATAACCATATTTTATGAAACAGATTTTGAACTATTGTGGCCAAGCTGGGCATAAAAGTAAAACTAATTTGGTTAAGATATGCTCTGACAGACATAACCCCTCTAATATGCTAAAATCAGGCAAGCTATGAATTAACGCTGGTGTGTGATTTGTGATGTGTACCCACCCCTGGCCAGTGTCAATCAGATCACATATAATCCTTAATGTGTGTAAGGATTTCCCTTTTTTCTAATCTTTTCCTAAAGTACTTTTTAAGATTAAAGCATAAACCTACATGTCTTTTTCTATTTTTTGCATTTGATTAAAAAATAAAAAGCAGCGTCCTGTGCCCACCTCTACACTGTAGATCAAGAGAGTCCACTGTTTTAAATAAAAAGAGTTTCCGTCAGATGAAAAATAATTGCATACTTGGAATTTCAGAAATTTGGATTATCACTGGTGGTTTATATTTCTTTTAAATATTTGTTTTTAATCAGCTACATTTATTATGGGAACTTCATATTAAACATTAAATTGATTTAAAAAGCACATCTGCAGTGATTCTTTAAAGTTTTGGAAAAGCATCTGAACATCAAACATAAAATAAATGTATTTAAATTTTAATTGTAGAAGGAAAAGAGGGATGATGATGATATAACAAATGTGATTTTCTGTCTGAATGCTTGTTTTGAATAGATTCATTGTGACATTTATAAATAGGAGCCCACTCGTAGAATATATTATTATGTAAATGTTGTATATGTTTAGCACAAATGTAGGGTATTTGTGCCAAACACAAAGACAAATCAGTACAGAAGGATGGTGGATGCGTGATACAGCTGGTGGCATATCAATGACAGCTTAGAGCACGAGTCCAGTTTATTTTCAACCCGGCTTATTTTCCATTGTGGCTCCTGCTGAGTCTCCTGCTAAGTTTGCATTTGTGTACAACGAATGCATGAGTGAGGATAACATGCACTCTTGTTTGGCCTCATTCTTAATGGTGAATTAGTTTGTAGTTACGTTGTGACCACCTGGCTTCTCTCCAACAAGAAGTCAAGGACCATTTACGCAGACAATGTTCAACTTCCACGTGAAAGAGTCTGGATGTGAAAAGGCTGAGTTGTGTTTGACAAACAGATGCCAGAGCTGTTGGAAAATAGAGTTCAGGGACACAGAAATTGCTTTATCAGACCTGTTCGCTCTTTAACCACACTGACAAGGTTTTAAGGCAACAGTGGGGAAAGATGGTTGCATACCACGTTTAAAGATGTTCGTGATAAACATCAGAGCAACAGATCTGTTTGATTTCTTAGGCACAGTCTGACCTAAAACTTGATCTAACCCTCTGCCTTCCAATGTAAAATGGGCCAAGTTCGAATTCCAATTGGTGCTCACAACCTTCCTGGTGTTTTGCCAATGGAGCAGTTTTCTTACCGCATGCTTAAAAATGATCGAATACCAGCTTAAGTTTGGTAACATTACAAGGCTATAGGTCTATTTTCGTATTAAAACCTAAAAAGAATTTGTCACACATCAGTCAGCACATGTTCATAGATAGTTGGGATTTAATACAAATTTTGATGTCAAAAATCACATTCCTGTATCCCCTGTTTGCCACCTTTTCTCATCCTTAGTGTAAAACGATTAATGATGAAACTTGTTCATTGAAAACAAGCACTGCTTAATTCACAGCCACCCCCCCAAGGCTCATCCTATGGCCTTCTCTAATTTCAGCCCCTTTCATTCCTCTAGCCCCACAGACCAAATAATACTATAAATTGGGTAGGTCCATTCAGTGACAATATATCTGATAAGACCCAAATGAAATTTATTGAATTGTCTGGACGCCAGTTGTTTGTAGTCTTTTCTACTGGCAGAAAAGTTGATCTTTCTGATCTCTCTGAGGAGCAGCGTGCAAACTAACCATTTCACCAATTCACTCATGCTAGTTTTTCATCTGCCTTGGTATTGTCTCCTTTCTGAGACTTGGCCAAAGGGGTTGAAGAGGGTAGTAATGCACAAGTGTCTCTATGTATATGCACATGTGTGTGTTTTAAGAGAGAGGCTGACAGGAAGAGAGGCATGCTGGCCTGCCCTCTGTTAGATTAATGTCTCCCCTCTTATTCTCCTCCATCTCAAGCACCACCTCCCTCCATCCTGCACGACCTTCCCTACTCCAAGAGAGAGGCCATCCATCCATTCGTTCACCCATACATCCATCCGCCCATCTGGCTGACTGATGCACAGGAGGGGAATGAGACTGTCAAGATCCCTGAACCTCAGCAGAGTCATTCTCTCTTTCTTCCCGTCTCCCTCTCTCCCTCCCTCCTTTGCCATTAGGAGTGGTTGAAGGGCTGATAGTAAGGACAGCATATCTCTATAGTTAATATTAATGTGCAGAGACAGAGGACAAGGTCTCCCTGTAGAAAGCTTTACTTTGACATATGCTTACTGATTCTCCACCTATCCCTCTAACTCTGTTTCAGTCTGCTTCTGCTCCTCAATCACACGCTTCCTCTATTTATCTTTTTCACATCCTTTTTTCCCCTCCTCCTTCCCCTTGGACTTTTCTTGCTTCTTCTCCTCCCAACTCTAGCTCTCTACTTCTGCATCTATCACTCACTTTTCTATTTAGCTCTTGTTATCCTTCAGTGTCTAAATTTTGAGCCATCAAGAAGAGAAATACGATAAGGATTATGAGTGTTATAAGAAGAGGTACAAAGGATTGAATGTGCTTGTATTCAACATGGCTGCCACGTGGGTGGTCGTTGTTTACAGAGTCTTGCCTGTCTAATACAAGGTACTTTTGAATCGCTGCTGGGTACACACACATACAGTGTCAGCTCATTCCGGCTCCCGACAAAGTGTAAATCTTAGGCTTACCGTGTCAACCACTAAAGCTCGGTATGGAGCGGCGAGCTTTATATTCTATCTAAACCAGTCTACATTCACAATCAGACACACTCAGAGCCAGACAGTGAAACAGACAGCTCACGCTGCATATGTCCACATCAAAAAACAGTTGCTGTATTATGCTTAAAAAATAAGCCTGGTTTTCTGCAGCTGCCAAGATGAATATAAAAACAAACATATGGAAAGAATTGCTGCAGCACAACTCAGCCATACACCTCAAAATAACAACATTAATTCGTTGGGAGAGATTTTTACACGTTTATAGAATTTAACTCTTTTCCCACATAAAGGCAATATTTGATGACTTCCTCTGGACCCCTAACGAAAACATAAACAAATATCAAAAAGGATTTGGTTTGACAACCACTGCAATATTTTCCCTGTTTTTCCAAGGGCAGACACCACCCTCATTAACTTCTGATGCAATATGAGAGAAACTTCTTTAAGGGTTACTCCTAGTAGGCTTTCAAGGGGTAAAGAGTTAACAGGGAAGTAATTCTACATTATTAGACACAGAAAACAGGGGGGAAAGGCCACTTTAGTCGCCAGAGGACCCATATTCTTGGAAAGGTCGATATTATAGTTCTTGATTAAGGATACAATGACAGGTACTACAGGTTTGAGCCTAAATAACACCAATCAAATAATCCTAAACAAGCCTGGTCATTTTCCCTGATTTACAAACATATTTACTCTGCAATGGCATTTAAAGAACCCTGTGTAGGTTATAGGCATTACCTATTACCATAGATGGAATATGGTAGTCATAATTATAATAACCTGCAACTATGTTTTTGTATGCACTTCCAAGGAATCCGTTATGTGCAACGGCCTTGTTTCTACAGTAGGAGTAGTAGATTTGAGCTGGGAAGCAAGAGGAAGGAAGGTCCATTAAATTTGTTCCAATGCAAACCTCCACTAGAAGCCACTAAATCCTACACACTGGCCTTTCTATAACTACATTAATCTTCTTCTCTACTTGCGTCTGCTTCAAATATATCTATGGGTTGTGGGTACTTGCCAGTAAATTCAATATTACACTTCTTGTTTTATTGCTTTTTTGCATGGATTTAAGTAAGTCTTAGATCTTATCAGCCACTGGGAAAAACGCCTAGCAAATTAAGTGATAGAGGGAGAGTCAGGGTCAGTTAACAGACAGTAAACAGAGCTAAAAAATGAATCAGGAGATTGACTGAAAACAGTCGATGAAGTCTGGACAGATCATGTCGGTTAACCAAAGAAGAAGCCATGTAAGATGGAAAATGCCTAATCCTGGGGCATAATATAAAACCAGTGTAGTTGCTGTTTGCACACAGGAAGACAATGGGACGGCCATGTTCTCTCATCTACTGAGGCCTTGTTCTCAGGGTTTCAATTAGGGCCTCCTGATTTCCCCAGGGGCCCCTCCCTCTTATGGAGATGCCTCATTAATAGATGAAACACAAGTGCACGGACACACAAACACACACACAAACACAGACCCACAAGTAAAGAGAATCAAATTTGCTTCAGAACTTACCCCTGACTTCTCATCAAAGATTTTGATTCCTCCAAAGGAAACGGTCAGGAACACCTTCTGTTTGTGTTCTCCTTTAGACCGTGCTGCTGCAGCTATTCCCTGAGGATGCACACACACAGACACACACAGAAACACAATCCATACAACCATGTCAGAAGCAGTATAGAAATGTACATGCAGTTGCCAACAACTGTCAATAAAGGTAATAACTATGTGTTTGAAAAATCAGCAATGAGTTTCATATACTGGCATCAATTTATAATCTTTAAATTATTTGTGGCAGGTTTCTCATTTATTCTCATCCAACAAACAACATTTTACTATATTGTGCACCAGGGCACCATGCAATCTTTCTACAAAACGACTAGGGATGATGTGAAAGGAGATCGATATCAATTACTAGTTTATTGAGAATGTCAGAAATGTTATGATAGTTTTTATTTAATAATAAAAAGTTGCTTTGCTTAAAAATAGCTTGGTGCTGAATGGAACAACTTAATTTATATAACTTGTTTAAAAGCTTTGGGAACGTGCTTTTAACACAGTACAACTGCTACGATGCACTCAGCATACAGTCAAACGACATACTGATTATTTATAGCTGTAAGTATATGTAAAGGTTTAAGTTTCTCTCCATTTTCACCTCGTCACCATTTGCATAGGCGAGTCACAAAAAGAAGACAGGAGAGAAGCAGGATCACAAAAACGACAGATTCCGGATAGAAAAGGGAGGAGCAGTATGAAAGAAAAGGTGGAGAGATCAGAGAAAAGGAGTTGATGGATTTTCTGTCTGAATAAATGAGGAGGAGGGAAGCTGTTTGATCAATGAGCTGTCGGTCCTCTTCTCACCCTTACGGGTCTCCGCTGGATAGAGTTTTCACTACACGTAAACAAAGCGTAAATGTAATTTTCTCAATTCAAATATCTCCTGCAATATGATTTAAAGGGAAATTAATAATGAATGAGGCACTCTTCACTCCGACAGCGTTTTCAAACTCTTTCAGCATACATTTGTAGAGACAAGATGCAAAATCTAGGTTTTGTTTAAAGATGCGACTTCTTGGGGAAAAATTTCAACATTTTTTATGTAACAGAATTTCAAAGCCTGTTTTTCATAATTCTGCAATCAATTATTTCAGAAAACAAGGTCGTTCATTAGGCCTGAATAGAAAATGGCCTATTTTTCTTCATCTTCATCCTCACTCATGTCTCTCTTTCACCTATCATCCAAATGATTCCCCTCCGATATGCCATCTCCTCGCTGCTAACTGCCCCATCTGTCTACCCCTCCCTCTAATTGTTTCTGTCCTTGCAAATGAGACATTCATCCCAATCCCCTTCTCATCCATATGGCTAACCTCCTTTACTTCCTCTTGCACTGATCATCGTCATCCCTATAAATTATAACAACCCCATTTTCTATCCTTCCTATTCAACTTCTCGCTTATAGCAATTTGCATAGAAAGACGGCAACAAACTCTATATGCATGCGCACACCGTCAAAAGCGCAGTAATGCTATGATGAACAAAACATGCATATTTAAATGTTGAACTTCAGAATATGCATGAAGCTGGCAACTGATGTCTTTTGTGGGTCACAGAACTTCATGCAGCTGCAGGCTGTAATATAACATTAATTCTGGGTGTTAACGTCCTCTGGTTTTTTTTAATTGCTCGCAACTACCGTGGAAAGTTTGTTTTAACAGCGAGTTTAAAATGGTACAATTAATTTGTAATTTGAGACAGATCAAGAGGAGGAGAAATACTCTTCTTACCTTGAGCTTCATCATCGAGTCCTGGCAGAGTTTGTCTCCACGGGCGGCGGTAACCTCGTCCAGGCCAATGAGCTTGGCCTTGTAGCGGACGCCATCGCCCTTAAAACGCCTGATGAGAGCTGTCTCGCTGCGATCCTGCCCTGCAGACACACATACACACTCACTTTGCAGTCTACAGTACATCTTCAAGTCAAGGACCTCAATCTACCTCAGACCAGTGCTATTACCTCAGGATCATCAATCACACAAACCCCAGAATACTTCAACAGTAAAAAAAAAAAAATAACCCAACTATGGTATAGTTTAAAGCCACTAATGTCCAAAACTAACTCAGATCACATGCACTGAACTGTGGTATCATATGAATGATAATGGGCAGTACACTCATTGACGCTTAGTGTTTGGCAGGATTAGACGAAACTCTGACTGTTCACATCTTTGGCCATTTCTCATACAAAATAATGGTGTGACATTTCCTCCTTATCTCCCCCGTCTCCAGCAGTCCCTCGTCTCTCCTCACTTGCTACTGTGTACCAGATTGCCAGCACTGTGCGCATGTATTAGTAAGTGTCAGCGATGGCGTGCATTTGTTGACCTTGCTCTTGTCCAGGAAGTCTCTGTGTTATCTCCTCCAAACCTCTTTACACACAGCACAGAGCACAGAGAGAGGGAGAGAGAACAGTTACTCATAAGGACAAACTCTTTTGTGTCATACTCTCTCATTCTTTCTTCCTCTCAGTTTCTATTTCTCTGACCGGCAGCGTGCACGCACACACCAAAAGTTGTACAGACAAACACCAGAGCATCTCTGCATGTCTCCGTGTTCTGTTTTTGAGTGTGTATATGCGAGACTTTGAGTGTGATTCTGAGAGAGAGGCATAATGATAATGCAGCATATTCAGATAATACATCGAGGCATTAGTTCTGTACTCTATAAGAGCGTGACTCTTGGAAGGTCACAGCCGGAGTGATGGAGAGGTCCCACTCCTCCTTTCGTCTTTCTATCACACTCCCTCCATTCACACCGAGTCCCTACAGCGTTGCAGCATAAGAGAAATGTGCCCTTTTAAGACCATCACGTTACGTGCAGCTATTGAATCATTTTTGTGCAACACAAACCTCCCACGACTTCGTTTGTGTGCCCTGACGCGAAAACAAGCGAACACGAGTATTTTTTAAATCTGCATTTGAATCAATCAATCAAATGATTTAACAAGTTGGAAAGTATTTGAGGACAATTCAATATAAGGCCTCGTTATCACACGATGGTCGGTTAGCCTTTGTATTAATAACCCTGCTTTGTTAAAACCGCAAATAGAAACGTCCAAGGCTGCCACAGATTATTTTGTGAATATTAATTTGTCTAAGAAGCTTCATCCTATGGGAAGAAAAACTTGACAAACTACAAGAAAGGAAAAGAAAACCCACTTACACCCTATTTTCCATTGATAAAAAAATAACATACACATAGAGAGACACACACTCAAAGGCTGCAGATGAACTCATACCTCTGAATCATTGAACAGACACACTCAGTCACACTGCTACTTGGAGTAAATCACAACTGTCTGTCTCATAGTCCTAAGAGACAAAAGAGCCGAAGAATATCAGTCCTTATTTTGGGGAGAGTAAGAGAGAGCAGCTCTCTCTACTGTGTCACGTCTCAGCATATCTGAGATCAAAGTAAGTGACTAAACCTCTGCAGGACTGTGTTGTTCAACAAGGAGATGTTCATTTTGGAGACATTTAAATATTGCCTTCATTAAATATGAAACGATGCTGTAAAACGAACGCGCACACACACACACTCATATATGTTGGTAGTGTGATGGCAACCCCCAGATTTCCACACCCACTAGTTCCACATCATCTCTTCTCACTGTGACAATGACATGAAACATACTGCATGAGCTGTCTGTCAGGAAACATTCACAAAAAAAATCGCTCCAGATCTCCAAAAGTGTCAAAAACCTTTCTTCACTGTGCAACAAACTAACAACTCTCTGAAGCTGAGGTTTGATTAATACAATTATTTTTTTAGAGGGGAAAAATAAGAAACAGTGAAATAAAACACATTATTTTTACTACAGCACTAATTACTTGATCACAACTGCCCCATGAACAAACAATAAGATTTATTTTCAATTCAGCGAATAAATTGAATAATATTCAAACACTGACATGCTCTAACAAGGCCCGACACCCTTGTACTTGTTTGTGTCGTGATTCTGGTCACAGTTTCAGATTTTTAACACCTCTAATCCAAACCTTCAATTCCAGTAAGCAAAAACGTTTACACTGGTAGGAAACCAAGTACACCAGGCTGAATGTGAAATCCATAAAGCGCAATTTAGAAAACATCCACAATATTCCCACTTTATGGCATGTTCACAAAAATCACTGAATCCTAAAAAAAATGTAGCATGTGTGTTCCTGACAGAGAAAGTGGGGTCAAGTTCAAGAATATAAATCACTTATCAAAGAAAAAGGTGGCACTGCAGCAAAAGCTCGAGTTTAAGTATTCCTCTATGTAATCTCTAAGTAGATTTAATGAAGAGCCGGAACAAGCTCATAGTGAATATTAAGATGATTTAGCCAATTTTAAAGCCCTTAAAGGAAAAATAAAAAGGGGTTCAGATGAGTTTTATATCATACAATTAGAGCAACTTTATTCATTTAATTATAAACCAAATAAACTTGATTTTAATGTTTCAGTGAGAGGATTAGTGAAAAACACAATTTGGTATTTTATCTTAATTTAGACTGTTTTGTCAGATACTGTATAATTTGATTGTACTTTTTATGCCCTTCTGAGGATCCATTTGTTCATTGTTATAGCAGTCCACACTGTGTAGGACTTCATCTGTGTGTGTTTATATGTATGAGAGTTAAATAACACTGGTTGTGTCCAGATGACTCTGTCTCACTGGAACAGTGATTTTCATTTGAGTTTGACATTTAAGACATGCTTGCTCCATCTGCACCCATCACCATTACTGCTGCTATACTTAGCTCACAATGAAAGGACGAGTGAGAGAGTGAGATAGACAGAGAGTGAGAGTGAGAGAGAGAGAGAGAAGTTGAAATAAAGTCAAGATGGGAAAAAAGAAAGGAAAAGGTAGAGAGGGTCCAAGGTTACCACTCCTGCTGAGTGGTTTATAATATTACCTTTTGGGAGCATGTTCCATGAAAGACCTCCCTCTGTGTGTGTGTGTGTGTGCCTGTCTGTGTGTGTGTGTGTGTGTGTGTGTGTCAGTCAGTGGGGGAAGCATTCAGTCTGCTGTAATTAAATGTCCGCTGTTTCTGTGACCCTGCTGAGCTTCAAACACAACTAATGAAAGAATCTTCCATTTCATCTGTCACGGCTGCTCCACAGACACACAAACGCAAACTCGTGTGCCTGCCTCACACTCGCACACGACGCACTTACAGACTCACGCTCACACGCATCCCACCTACCATACCATAACACTAATGAAAGAAGCTTTTGGAACATCAATCACGGCTGCTCCACAGGTCAACAAACACAAAAACATGCAATCTTTTCTCAGATCTGTGCAAACTACACTGCAGTGCTACGCTGCTATCGCAATATCTGGAATTCAAGTTTTTACGCTACAGTCAAGCGCTGCGTATCGAGTGTACGTGTGTGTTTGCGGTAGCACTTGGTATGCAGGGTTTGTTCATAACTGTCTGTCTGAAGCAACAAGCAGAGAGGGAGGGAAGGACATAAAGCGAAGAGCAAAGGATGGAAAAACGTGATGGATGGATGAATGAGCGAAGCCTCCATTGGATAAATGTCAGTCAGGATTAGAGCGATATGACAGGCAGAACCTCCCTGACTCACACACACACACACACACACAAACTTTCACATGTGATAGATGGCAGGTGACTGCTGGTACAGTGCGTCTAGCCCTTCAGGAAAGCCCCTAGCATCGCCCCTGGCAACTGTAACCTTTCGCCTCCTGTGCGCCCGTCCATCCCCGTCTTCCCCCTTTTCGCCTCTTCTCCCAACCCTTCTTAGTCTCTGCGTAATTCCACCTCTTTACATGGGTGACATATTGAAATCTTATTTACTTAAATATTTGCCAATGTCTTTCTTCCTGGCAAATCAGGTTATTACTGATTTTTTTGTAGTTTTGGCTGTCACTCATTTCAATTATGATGACATTTTACTTACCAGAGCGACTGTCTGGATTTAGAAATCATAGCTAGAATGAAGTCTGACAGGTCCAAGACAACACGGATCATCTACTGTAATAACAACACCATATAAACCCAATGCAATGCACCAAAATCATGATACTGAATCCTCATCAGACAAACTGTGCGCAATCAAAGCTTCTTAAGTGTGCACGGTCTAAGTGGACCACAGCCAGATTACCTGTGGGTTTGTTTACAAGTTGCCTAACTGTCTGTCTTCTAGGTACTTCTCACTTTATCAAGCTGTATCAAATGTATGTTAGACTTACAGATTGATGCAGATACATTCTCATGTATCCAGGCCTGTCACAGATGTATGCAGGGCTCTCCTCAGCAGTGCAGACTTTCATTCAAAAACATTCTGATCATCCAGGCTTAAGGCTGGCAATGAGTGTATAGGTTTTAAGTGTAAGGCCAATAAGGCATAACAGTCTAGTTCATTAATTTCATTAGACGTTAGAGACAGAGGCTATTAGTTTGAGACCACTGAGTAAGAATATGGGAGAGATGCGGCACCTCAATAGCAAAGAAAAGTGAACTCAAGACTTTATTTGATTTCTTGCTGTAAGAGGAGGTTTTTTTGGGCATCATGTCATCTGATATTCCTCGGAAATTAATTAGCTACACAAATGTTGTTGCCACTATCACCCATTTACTTTCATAAGGCCAGCATTGTTTGCAGTGGCTGGTAAAGTGTGGAGCTTGATTCACTGTGCTCCAGATGAAGAAGCACCCAGAGGCTCTTAACTGCAGCTGGGATGGTTCCCAACAAACACTCAACAGCACATGAGGGAACCCGGCAGTTACTCTCCAATTAATCCTGCTTCTAAACCCTGCCGCTGAATGTCTGTGTGCGTTTGTGTCAACACGTGTGGGGTTTTGTGCTTTTCTTACCTATCAGAGACTTGTTCAGATGAAGCGCTCACTCATACCC